CTCAGGTTAATCTTGGTGGAGGTGGATAATAGCGAAGGAAGTTAGGCACTTTGGAAAGGTCTGGAACTGGAACCCCATTAACACAGTCTTTTCTGTGATCATGCAACTAAAACATCAAAACTTCAAGACTGGAGTTTCACTGGTGTTTAAGTGAAATGCATAATGATCTTAAGTCTGTTATTTCCATGATACAGACAGGCAGAAGACCAATAAAACACCTGGACCAATATAGAATGTATTTAAATTAGAGGGGCCCCTGGAGCACAGGGAGAAAAGACTTACTCATTCTCAAACGCAGCCCCTGGGAGGTGTCTTTTGACACTTACTTCTCTCCGGGGCACCTCTTGCTAAATTGCAGTTTGTGTCCCTTCCTCAGAGCACAAAAATCTACAGGGCTTTAAGCTCCCAGTGCCTTCTATTCTCAGACACTCTTAAACCTTCTTGTTTCTAAACACTGTGCTAGGTACAAATTTATCTTTAAAAAAATGATAAATCATACATATAGAAAAGTGCATGAAACATCTACCATTTAAAGATTTTTTAAGCGAACACCTGTGTCACTGCCAACCGGGTCAAGAAATGGAATATTGCCAGAACCCCCACATTTCTGTCTATCCTTGATTATGGCCCTATCTTTCCCCCCATCTTTGTGCCTTGTAAGTTAATCACCCCCTAGTTTTGCCACTCAGCAGCTGGGTGATCTTGGGCACATGGCTTAACTTCTTAGAGTTTGTTTCTTCTATAAAAATGAGGATAGATTCACTCCTTAAGAGACCGGATAGCTTGCCATGTAAAAGCACATGTCCTGGACCTAGCCTGTCTGGTTCAAGTCCCAGCTCTGCTACTGACAAGCTATGTGACATCAGGCAATGACATCAGGCAATGACGGTGATGACAATGCTCAACTCTTAGGGTCGCTCTGAAGAGGGATGAGACAAAATATTAAGGGCACTTAGAACGCCACCTGGGATATGAAAAATACTGTCTAGAAAAAAGTGCTAGTTATTATTTTCATAAAGCTTTTGTGTATATGGAAGCATGGGGAGTGGTGGAAGATGCGTTGATGTATGGACGTGACTATGAAAACTACTGAATGTGTATTTGTGGATGATTTTATTTGTTACCAAATTGGTGGCGAAAAAGTTTCTGAGCTCCTTCAACCTTCATCTACTCTCTTTACCCATACCTCACTTCTTACCCATAAGCAAACGGATATTAAGGAGATTTTCTGTAATTAAGTTGGTATTTTTTTCTTTTTTATTAAGACAAAATTCACACAACATAAAATTCACCATTTTGACCATTTTATAGTACACTCTTCAGTGGTTTTAAGCATGGTCACAAACTGTGCAGCCATCTCTGCTATCTAGTCCCATATAATGTCTTCGTCACACCAAAAAGAAAGCCTGCACCTGTGAGCGAACACTGCCCACTGCCCCTTCCCCAGCCCCTGGCAAACACAAACCCACCTTCTGTCTTTATGCATTTGCCTCTTCTGGGCATTTCACATAAATGGGATCACCCAATATGTGGCCTTTTGTGTCTGGCTTCAACTCAGCATGATGTTTTGAAGGTTTATGTTGCAGCATGTACATTCCTTTTATGCTCAAATATTATTTCATTATATAGACATACCGTATTTTGTTTATCCATTCATCCGTTGATAGACATTTGGGTTGTTTTCACCTTTGGGCTATTATGAATATTGATGCTATGAGCGTTTATGTACAAGTTTTTTACGTGAACATATGTTTTCAGTTCTCTTGAGTATGTATCTAGGAATGGAATTGCAAAGTCATATGGTAACTCTATGTTTTAACTTTCCGAGGAGCCGCCAGACTGTTTTCCATAGCAGCTGCCCCATTTTACATTTCCACCAGCAATGTATGAGGATTCCAATTCCTCCACCAAAGCAGAGTGTTTCTGAGTCAAAAAATAGCTTTTCAGCACTTGGCTCAGCACCTTACAGGTAAAGCTGAACTACAGAGATGGGTAGGTTTCCTGTAAGGTCCTGCCCAGAGGTCTCCTGGCAAAGGCAGTGCTTCCTTCTGGAATGAAATGACAGTTTCTGAAGTACCGCGTTGCAAAGAGCTCAATGGAAGAACCCATGGCCCTTGATGTATTTTGCCTAAGGGAGCAGTGTGGTGGGCAGCCTGCAGGACAGGGCATCCAGCCCGGGCAGTAGGAATCCTGACCTTTACCCCAGGTTGCTGACCTTCACCCCTGGCCAGCTGCCTTGGATACCTCAACCAATGCTAATTTCAAGCCTTTGGGGACTCCACACCAGAGCTATTTTAAAGATAAATTTGGCTCCTAAGATTGTCAAAACCTTTATGTCTCTAAAGAGTAAGTAAAAAGGAATTCAAGGAAATGTAAAACATGCTTTGATATCTCATACCTGACTCCACTGAGGAATGTTAAAAAGGAACTTCCCGTTTGGGGCTTTCAGTCAAAGCCCCATTTCCCTTGCTCTTTCATTACTTACAGTATTTTCTTCTCTTCATTTGTAATTTATATAGGTTTTTGTTTGCAATTCAAATTGAATCTTTTATTTTAATGAGGATATGGAGTGAGATGACAGTGGTCATGGAAATAACTCACACTGCAAGCGTAAGTGCCATATACTCTTGAAAAAGAACTTTTCTCAGTTTGCTCAAGGTCATCTTTGTGTTTCTTCTGCTTTATCAGCCTTAAGGGTAATCTTTAAATGTTTCCAAGCATGAGAAGTCCCAACAGTGGTGCGTTTTTTTGTTTAATAGTTGAATTGTATCCCCTGAAAATGGGATTTTTTAATTGTAGTCTGCCACGTTCCCACTACAATAATGGGAAATTACTAAATAGGAAGCAATTTCAGCACTTAAATTTGCTGATGTGATGTTTCTTAATCACTTTAATGAGTTTCATACCACTAGAAATGGAATAGAATTTTCAATGGAAATATAATTAAATAGAAAAGCCATTTCCTATACTTGTAATTTCTACCTGATCATTTCTTTATTCACCTCCATAGAAAGTGTGCCTTGCAGGCTGATAGTGATATTATCATACAGACCAATTTGCATAATTCACTTAGGTCGTTAGAGCTGAAAACAATATAAATACCCTAACAGTAAATTTCATTACAAATCAAGTACAGCAAAGCAAGCTAAATCTTCAAAACTATGATTTTTTTCCTTTTTAAAGTCTGATGATATTTACTAGTTTTACCTGATTTCTCTTCAATTGTCAATTTCTTGCCTAAATCCAGATTTGTCTTTTAATTATGCCTTTCAATTGGGCCTCCTGAAAACAATTCTCAGGGGAAGCAATAACATGAGTCAGTAGAAACTATAAAAGATTTTTGGAAACACTGAGTTCTCATACTTGAATGATTTTGCTGAGAAACGGTCAGTAAAAAAGGAAGTTTTACTATTCTTACATCGTGATACTAAAACAGAAAGGCCATTTAAATTTGTTTAATTTATTCTGAGCTTAATTTGTGAGTTTAATACATTACTTTTGAGAATCCATCAGACATTCTGGAAAAGGTTTTTTTTAAAAAAAAAAAATTTTAGTTGTGGTTTTTACATTTCAACATAAAAGTAGTCAAAAGGGCTTGTTTTCCATTTAATTAATACAGTCCAACTGAATTTACTTAAAGTGCATTTTAGAGAAAATCTTTTTAGGTTTGTAGTTCAGCAAGTGGTTTAAAGCATAACCATTCTCAACTCCAAACTGCTCTTTATGTTTTTAAATAGACCTTTAAACAAGAGCTAATGGAGGTGCCTGCCTTACCACCTCACCTGTGGATATGGAGGCACCAGCTTGCTTTCTTTTGGGCATGTTTTCAGTGGGTCGTTCTATGGTACATAGTGTAGATTGGTATTGGGTCATATTCCCTCTCCAGTGAGCAGTGACCCACATATGTGAGACAGTCATTTATATCACCTTGATCTGTACTCTCTGTGATTGTTAAAAAACACATATAGAGTAGTTATCTCGGTAACTATTGGCGTGATAAAGCTGAAAGATTAACAGTGTTTAGAAGTCCAGGGTCTGGGAGTGTATTTTGCTAAGGAAAACTCATCTGATGTATTCTCTGCAAAATTAAGCTATAAACCACCCCCAAATGAGATTCTAAATGTCAAAGCATTTTATAAGCTGTAAATCAATTTAAATGTATTTTTTTAAAAACAAAAATGAACTATGAGGAAATACTTTCTGTATTTAGTCTTGCTATTCTTTGCCAGGTATTTGTTGAAATACTTTCTTTCATTGCACAATACTATATATAAAAGTGCTTTCCATGTTTTGTGTATCATGAACTACTATTTTTATTTTGCTAATAATCAACGATTTCCAGTGCCAGTATTTACTATTCTGAATGTCAGATTGAATCCCAAAGTTTCATTGTTTCCCCAGTGTTACACTGAAAATGAAATGACCTTTGCAGACCAGGAGTAAGCAAACTTTGTTCAGCTGGAGTTTATCAAGTCATGCTACAAGTATCAGCTAACACGAGTTAAGATAAATTGGATTGGGGTTATTATACCACAGGATTTCCCCAAGACAAAACTCCTCTACACCGTATTAGTCAAGTGCTTTTAACATCTTAGTCATCTTTTTTATTTTCCTTGCAGGGAATTTCTTTGAATAGATGTTCATTTGAAGAAGGAAGGAAAGGAGGAGGGAGGAAAAGAATAATTGTAATGGTTAGAAAAGAGCAGCTAAAGCTCATTTCTGAAGACTGAGCTAGCAATTTTAATAAATAGTTGAATCTATTTAAATTGATTAAAGCAGAAAATATAAAGCTATCTCCACTACTGAAGAGATGGATTGATAACAATGAATCTGAGTTTTGGAGCAACAGACTTCAAAAATCTTGTACTGAAATCAACAAGAATTAGAGCCTTGTGCATCATAGATTTTCAAATGTTTGCTGAACTGAAAAGAAAAAGAATATACGTGAGAATTATTATTTCCCCCCAAAGTGTCTTATATGAAATAGAATGACCTTCAGGTTGTGGAATGTAAATCTTTTATTAAAACAGTTGTCTTTCCACAGTAGTAAAGCTTTGGCACATACAGTATAAAAAATAATCACCAACCACAATTATACCAAATTCCTCTTATCAACTGCATACTAAGTGTCTTCAATACAATTTTTTCCATATAAAAATACTGGGAAAAATTGATAAATAACAGATAAGAGAAAGATATCTCTAGGCAATTACTAGAATCATTTGGAAAAAGTGAGTACTGTAGATATTTTAAATATCACAGTAACAAGGACATGCCGTTCCTACAGTATTGTGGGCCAGGCAGTTAAGTGAAAGCAGAAGTGTTTGGGTAACTTTCCTACTTAAAATTTTGGTCATGTCATTTCAATACATTTTGCATCCTGGTTGGCTGCATATGCTTCCTTATTGATCCCAAACCAAATCACAAGTTAGAATCATTTCATTTAAAATACTGAGCGGTATTGACTACTTTGAAGCAGAACAGGCAACATAATGCCTTCATTTATGAGAAGAGTCTCAGAACACTCCCAGGGTGATGCTTGAGAAGCTGTGAGTTGAGCTGAAGCTGGAGAACTTACTCCAGAGCAAAGGGCTTAAGAAAGAAACAAGCTCTTCAAGATGGGTCTGCTAACATCACTCCAGTCTGGATGGACTTTGGCGGAGAGACATGCTTGCTTCTCTGGGTTGGAAATATTTACTCTCTGGAATCGTCTCTGTCAGCCTGTACATCTAAAGGCATGAAGCACTCGATTGGACAATTAACATTCTGTTAAAATGGAAGAAGAGAAAAATTAGTGGCCAATACTGTAAAGTGTACAGAAAAAAAATGTGGGGAGGCGGGGACTTCCGTGACAACTGCTGGTAGATAGAATATTTCTTCCTAGTTTCAAGAACTTAGCAATATACTAGTCAGTAAGAGATGTTCAAGAGTTTAATTACTTATAACTTAAATTATGTTATAGAATACAGTATTCTGCTTGTTATTTGAGATTTTTTTAAAAAATAGAGAAAATTTGGTTCATTTAGAAGAAAGGTACCCACAGAAAGAGAGACTCTAGTATGGATCTGATTGTATTTAGGGGAGAGACACTCTTGGGGCAAATGCACTTACAGTGTTTGTTCTCTGATGGTATCTCTGAGAATACTGGTTGTAGGAGTGTCCAGTGGAGCCTTCGGGTTCGGCCCCAGGTCTGCGGCAGTTGTCGCAGCGCCAGCCCTGAGAGAGTAGAGGCACAACCAGAGAACATCATAATTTAGTGCTTAAGTTAAAGAAAACTTTTAGCTCTTATGCACTGGCAAAATATAAGCAGTTAATCTCTGAGGAAGCTTTGATGATGATTTCATGCATTTATAGCTCTTACAGTACATTTTGCCTCATTACTGTTTCGTATACCTACCTCTGTCTATTTATGCTTTTCCTTTTTCTGAAATGTCCTCTCTTCTCTTTCTATTCAAAACCCACCCATCTGCTAAGGCTCATTCCAGTCCCAACTTCCTCAACAAGCTTTCTGCACTAGATGACAGAAGAGGTTTTCATAGAATCATAGAGATTTTAAAAGGGGCTTGAGATCACATGGACAAACATCCTCACTTTCCAGGGAAGGAAAAAGAGACTCAGAAGAGAAGAATGACTTGCTCAGAGGGAGCAGGGAAGTCACACAGTGGCGTTGGGGTGACTCCTGGCCATGTTCTTTCTAATGCAGCACATTGCCACTCCCTTCCTAAACGTCCCTAGCCAGTGACATGGTAGCCTTTCACTTGGCCAGAGACGGGATGGAAGATGGGAACAGGACCAAGCTGTTCCCTCCCATGATGAGGCCAGTGAGCCTCGTCCCTGAGATTTTTGCTGGAAATGTGAGAAAGCACATGTTCTCTTTCACTGTTTTTCCTAAGCTGTAAGGAGGTAAAACTGGAGCTCATGGAGAACACTGATGTCACTATGAGCAGGGGTCCACCGGAGAGTGAAGCGAGTGCAAGAGAAGATACGTGGAGAGGGAGAGACTCCAAATGCCACTGCTGAGCAGGCCCTGAAACTGGTAGATTCTGGGACTTTTCTGTTATGTGAGCCATTTTTGTCTAACTCGAGTTGACTTTTACAACTAAAAGAACCCTAAAGAATATAAATCATTTTCTTTATTGTATTACAATTTAAATATTTTAGACGTATTTCTCCATTTAAGAGCATATTCCCCATAATACCTAATGCAATATGGGTAATGCCTACTTACGGAATCAATGAATCATGCTTGCATATAAGAATGTGACAGTTCCCACTGTCTTAAGAGTTTCATTTAGCACCTTTCTTGAGAACACAATAAGTGTCACACATGAAAGTTTTCATATGTGCATAATTAACGAGGACAAGATGTTGAAATGAGATCAAAATCTACTTCCCAATAAATTCACTCTCTATCACACGTTTTTATACCAGGATGACTGAGTTCTTTGATCATGGTCTTTGTAAGTGTTAATGAGAGAGAGGGAGTGAGAGAGAGAGATTGAGATTGATTCCACAGTTTCTCTCCCATCAGAATTGGGAGCACATCCCTCCCCACCTAACCTCTAGGGGTAGAAGAATATTAGAGCAGTTTCCATGGGCTGCCCCAGGTGGGGCAGACACAGGCCCCTGAAGACCCTTCCCTGCTGCCAGATTAATTTTCCTAAAGACTATTTTCCATCATGCTCCTTTACATCTTGGTTAATTGGTAATTGGTTAATGCCAGATGCATCAATCCATGAATCTCACCCTTGGGTGGGGAGCATGCTCCTCACGTGTGAGAACTTGCGGAGCTATTGTTATCTAAATTGAAAACAAAGGACTGTCCTGTTCTGTAGCTTTTATTTGACTTATAAGAGTCATTTCATTTTGAAATTTCAAATAATATTAGAAGAAGGCATAGAATTTTTCATTATACCAAATTGAAGTAGAGCACGTGTCAGAAATGGTTGAGAAGTACACGCAGAAATAACAGATTTCCAAGGGCCTCCATAATCTACTTCTTCCCATTGATTTCTTACCACAAGACACCAGGCAGGGGGTTGGCCCACTGAAGCCCATCTGGACCAGCGCCTTCCTATCCCAGGGGGTGTGTTCTCTGTGTCTCTGCTTCTTCCCCTCCCAACCAAATCTTTGCCATCCTAAGTGCCAGCCAGGTCATGCTTCTCTTTCTTGCTAATGCCAGCCTACCTGGAACTGTATTTGTCAGACTCACTCAGAAACTTATTTCATTAGCTTGACTTTGCAATGTATACCAATTTAATGTTTTCAACGATACCATTAAGCATCAGGACCATTGCTCATTCTCTGTTGGTCCCATCTTACTTAGCACAGTGCTAGGCCTATAACAAGGACGTGTTTTGAAATTGAGAGAGGGTGCAAAGAATGATGCCACAGGGACACCTGTCCAGCAGAATGGAGCTGAAGGCCCAGCGCTACACAGCATTTGACACTAGTTGCTGAAGAACAGAGACAGCCTGATAATAGCAGGCATGGGGGGGGGGGCTGAGGCTACCAAGGAGGGGGAGAAGCGAGGAGGGGCACTCCAGAGCCTTCCATCGGAAGCTGTGTGCAAACAGGAAATGCGGTATTTCCACACTTCGTAAGGGGCTCTGCCACACCTGAGTGGACAGTACATCCATGCAGAGGCCTCTCCCTTGTCTTATCTAAATAGCAGGGAGCCTGGCACATCTGGTCTTACCCGCTGGCCTCCGAAGCACGTGCAGGAGCAAATGGCACCGAGATACTCCTTCTGCCACTGTTCTCCTACATGGTATGTCTTCCCATCATCGTAACAGGTTGCCTCATCTAGGCACAAGTCAGAAGCACATGTAAGACAGAGAACTATCATGCAGACTTGACATAGGGGTGGTTCTATTTCTGTCCTAAATTTGGACCACCATAGCCCAAATCCCATATATTTATGTGCTCATCCATAAGAGACGTACTGCTCTACGGAGCTTAGGGCAGCCTTTCCAAAAACTAGAACTAGTAAACTGGAAAGGGGCCAACGGGAAGATGGAAATCATATTTTAAAGGTTGAATCTACAGACCAATAAAGCTTCCTTGTAACATTTCACTGCAGATAATGGTCAAAATACTCAGGTTGGAAAAGTGCTGAAGTGCCCTGTAATAACATTAAATCATGACTCGTTTTTGAAGCTTGTCTCCGCTTTCCCAAATCACAAGATTAACAAACCCGCTGTTCACTCCTCCAGGAGACCTAAAGTCTCCAATCACTTCTGTGAATGAGAGTTACGGCCCAGTAATGAAAGTGGGAGTGCTTAACAAGACACTAAAAATGATCTGTGATGACATACGAGGATCACACTTGAATTCTCCTTTTCCGTTCCCAAGACACGTGCAGCTCATCATCTGGCCATTTTCTCCCTGCCGATCCCACTTCTCTCCAATCTTGTAGTTCACGCCATTGTCATGGCACCATTCTGGAAGGGTGGGGAAGGTTGGGAGCAAAAAGTTATTTGTATGTTCTGACTCAAAGGACACTGAGTGAGCTGGGACCTGCCACAGGATTTTAAAAGCCATGATGTATCTGGAAGGAGTGGCAAAGAAAGTTAAAGATCATAATCCCTGTGACGAACCATTTCTTTGGTTGGATTTTAAAATACTAATTTTTGCCATTTAACATTTTCTAGGACATTTTAAGATCCAGTTTATTCTGCCATGATCATGTCATAAGAATAGTCAGTGACTTCCATTTCAGTTCTCACTATTGAGATATAAAACTGTGGAAAACTAAAGTCGGGCTAGAGTAGTCCTTTAGGAATAGATCAGAAATGAAAAATCACTTGGATTTGCAGAGACCCTAGATACAAAATGGTTCAATTAACCATAAAACAAAGATCAGCTCATTTCTACATGCCAGCACCCATTTCATGTAAATGGAAGAGTAAAAAATACGCTCGGGTAACGAAACAAAACAAAAACAAACATAATGATCAATCAATGGTTATTATCCCTACAAATAAAAGACTGGTTCTGACGAATATCCAAAAGTTACAAGTTATAGATCTTTAACTACTATACATAAAGGATGGCTTTTTAATCTCCAAGGTTTATACTAAGACAAAACACTTCAGAAGTGTCTATAACAATACACTACTTTAATTTTATCAACAATTCAGCCTTCCTTATACTATAAAGAAATCAGACAGCTGTGATATCTAAGCAAAGATTATCTAAATTGAGCCAAAGAATCACGTAAATGAACTTAGAGCTCTGCTCCCACAATTGCACCAAGTACTCGCACAGGTGATAAATATGCAAACCTAAAAGTAGTTCAGTTTCGGAACTTAAAAAACACCGAGTTGATGTCAAATGTTAAAATTTCCAACTCCTAAACAGTATGTGACACTTCTACTGGTCTGCCTTTCCATTTTCAGGTGGTCAAGGACAGAAGTCTACACTGAAAAATTGGTTTCTTAATTTCAGTCTGGATCAAACCATTTCATGTCTTTAAGATAAATACTTTGAAAATCCTTTTTTAAAAAAAGTCTGTTATATTTTATTTCCATAGAATATGATTTCTTTATTTCTATAGGAGGCTTGTTTATAAGACATGATGGTTAACACCTATAAAAATGAACCAATTGTCCATAATAATCACATCTCCTTAAAACAAAGAATAAATGGAAGGTTTATAAATTCTAATACTAACTCTGAAAGCATAATAGATAATTCCTAGGATCACTTTAACTAAAAACAGGAATTGGAAAATTAAAACCTCTTTATAATTTGAAAACCAAATATTTTTCAATTGAAGTTGATTCTTAATTATCTACAAGTAGATTATCTGTAATTTTCCCTTTATATTTCGAGAAATGTTCAAACTACTTGGGTTGTGTCTGTGTGTGTGACATGAGAGGATATGTGTAATATGACATGTAGTTTGTGTTGAAAGAGACTATGAGTATAAATGTTCACCTCCAACCTCACTCAACACCAAAGATTAAAACAGATTTGAGGTTTCTCTGTGTCTCTGATACCTTTTTCTTTTTTTTCCTTTGAGATGGGGTCTTGCTCTGTTGCCCAGGCTGGAGTGCAGTGGCACAATCGTAGCTTACTACAGCCTCAGACTCCTGGGCTCAAGCAATCCTCCTGCCTCAGCCTCCTGTGTATCTGGAACTACAGGTTTGTACAACCACACCCAGCTAAGTTTTTAATTTCTTTGTAGAGATGGGATCTCACTATGTTCCCCAGGCTGGTCTTAAACTCCTGACCTCAAGTGATCCTCCCACCTCAGCCTCCTAAAGCACTGGGATTACAGGTGGGAGACACCATGCCCAGCCTGATACTCTTAATTAGATCTGACTCCAAAGAGTTTGACTTTATTGATGAGTTTTAAGAGAAAATTTCAAAGACTGAATTACCATCACAGTCTTATTTTTAAATGATAGTTGTATTGGCATACAACCCTTAAATGAAGCGATATCCAACAAGTAAAATTTCCCATCATTTTTTTTATGATGCAAAATGTTACTTTGAGTCAAACAATATTCCCTTGTTTGCTTCATGTTTGGAAGAGCCCGTGTCTGCCAAACATGCTTCCTTGGCACATTAGTGCAAATGTGTGGAACTGGAAGAGATGGACAGACAGGTGGATGGACACAGCAAGCTACTCACTAGATGAGTCACATCTGAAATGACCACTTCCAAAGCCTAAGCACTGGCACGAGAGTTTAAAGCCAGATTCAGACAATCGCTCCCACTCCTCTCCAATGGCATAGTGGGAAACAGTGTAGGGGTCGAAGCAGGAGTCATCCGTAGGTTGGTTCAGGCCTTCATTGACTAAGAAAAGGAGGAAAAAGCAAAAAAAGACATCTTATTGGTGATTTGGGACCATAAGAAGAAAACTGAATATTGTATACACAAATTCCCACAGCATTAAGAGGCATTCATCTGTTCTATCGGGGCATCAGCTACTCTAACAAACAATGCTTAGATGTAGCCAGTGGACACCTGCCACAGGCATCTTAAAAGGAGCCCATCTTTCATTTATTCCTTCAGTTGTAAAAAATGATCATTTCTGGTAAGTCTACTTTATAGAACTTGGAACAGATTTTGAGGCAATTTAAGCTAGTTAAGAGCTTTAACGGGATACACAAAGACCGGCAATGCCTCTCCATTGGTACCTGAGTGACCTTGGGCTAGTTATTTAATATCTCTGGGCCTTACTTCTCTCATTTGCAATACAGGAATAATAATAAAAATATCTCTACCTCCTAGGGATCTGATGAAGATTACACGAGGTCATGAATTCAAAATATTGGTCCTTTGCCAACACTTAGAACATGCTCATTAAATGAAGAATAATTATTAGAGGTTATCTTTTGCTCATAATGCAAAAGTGTCAGCATTTTAATATACCACTATAATGCAATCTTCACCTTTATTATTGCATTTTTTTTGCATAATAGTGCAGAAATCCTAGCTTTTTGCACATTGTTATTATAATGGCAAAATTGCTTTTCTTTATCAATAAAATCAACTATTCCAAGTAAGAGGAAGCAATGGGATATAGGTGATTTAGAAATAAGTAACAGAGTCTCTTCATGTTGTCTCTTTACAATTTGGAAAAGCTTATTTTAAAATAATCTATGCAAACAATGCATGCCTCAAATTATTCTCTAAAAATTAAATAATTGACTTTAAATCCCACTGTGTATGTTTCTTTTTATAGTGCAAAAATCAAAAGCTCAAAAGCAATAGATATTTGAAGTGCCTGATATTTTTAAAAGGCATCACACTGGAAGAAAATAGTTTTGGAGAACTAGGAAGTCTGACATGTATGTCTCAAAGCCAGGAGAACCTGGTTAGGATGCAGAATACTGCTACTGGGAATAAAGAGTTGCAAAGAAAAACGAAAGGAGCTTAAACTGTTATTAGGGGGTTCAATACTCTAAAAAGGGCCAGGAGTTAAGAGTCCATCCTAACAAAAGTTATAATTATAGAGATGGAATCTTTTTTTAAAAAATGTGGTAGGAGAGCACAAAGACTTTTGTGCTCTTGAAAATTCCATTCACGTGGCATTGTACTAGTAAAACCAGAAGAGCAAAAGATAAGCAGGATGGTGGATATGTAATACGGTGAACACAAAATAATCTCCTCCTCGCCCCCCTCTGGCCAAATACTCCACTGCTTAATTCACAGGAATTTATCCATGTAAAAGAGCACAGTCTTCTATCAGAGGAGGGAAGAGACTAGAATTAAGTAACTGGCCCTAGGAATAAAACCTGTCACTTGGCAAAGAGAATTTAGCACCCTTTGCCAATGAGGAGTAGCGAACCCTCCCGTTGGAAGATTCAGGATTCATGGTTTTAATTATTCCCTATCTCAGGTGTTTTGGTGAATCTTCACCTGCTGCAAACTGAAAAGCCAGGTGGCACATTACTGGTTTAAAAGGACTTTCCAGGTGCTACAAAGAAGAGTCAATGATCTTTTAACCTCTGTTGAGGCTTTGGACTTATATAATCAGAAAGAAAAAATATTGAAATAACATTGGAATAAGGGAGCTCTTCGGGCAGAAATGGGCTATGTTGGTAGCATTTTATGTCAGGAGCAAAGTGCCAGCTGTCCCTAACATCTGCAGGGGGGGAATTTCCTTTACAGGTAATCAGTCTTGGAACTTAAGAACCACTCAAAATGACAGCAGCGTGGTGAGATGGAGAGGGTCTGGGAAAAGACATAAGGAAATCTGTTCCCTATATCAACTCAGACACTCACTAGCAAGGGCTCCAGAGTGTTGGACTAAACAATATTTGGTGTCCCTTCCTGGTCTATCATCACCTCGCCATTTGAAAGCCTGTTAATGATGTGAGCATTTTGGAAAGGCACTAGTATATTCTGCGGGGCGGGGCGGCGGCTCGTAATTTAAAGTTGCTCGTTTATTTCATGTTGATGAGTAGCATTATTTTCCAAAGGTAAAAGACAACAGCAACAAAGGAACAGTCAATCGAGAAAGCCACCTCTGGCACAGTGCAGAGGGGGACGTGTGCCTGCATAACACGTGTTTACATACCAGAGTTACCCACGGTAACAACCTCCTCCCGAACCTTGTGCCTCTTTTGGTCTTTTAGCGCCTCCACTATGATGTTGTAGGTGGCCCCTCTGGTAAGGCCTGTCAGAGTGGCACTGGTAGAAGTTCCAGGAACTCGGAACTGCAATTTTGATACATCCAAAGCAGAGGAGAAAGCATTATATTGAGGACTATTCTCTTATCAGTAACCCTCCTTGTTTAAACAAAGCAAAAGGAGCCAAATGAAGAGGGACGGTGTAGGTGTCCCAACCAGATGAGTGAGGGGCTATCATTTCTGCCAGATTGTCCTCCCAAAAATCAACTCATGTGCTCCATAGTTCCCAGGAGCCTTCAAGAATACTGGAGACGGCCTCCACTTTATTTTGTTGCAGTACAGGTCTGTGCAAATCCTTTGGAAACCCTGTTTTCCCCTTCAAATAAAGCATGGCACTGCACTGTATGGGAGATAGAGTCATGCTATGCAAGGTGGTCTCTGACCCCAACACGGAGCACTTAAAATATTAATACTTCAGCCAGTCCTCAACCTCATGTTTCTAAGCCCATACATTTCCCACGGTATAGTCAGTGTTTAAAATTCTGCCACTTCCTAAAAATAAATATAAGAGCACAACAAAAATTGATACCAGCAAGACAAATTAAAGAACAGAAGTTTGAATTAGATAATCAATCACTTATAACAGCTGCTAGGCACAGCTTCCTCCAAGTTCTTTTTCTTTAGACATGTTGCACATAATGGGCTTTTTGAAGGGCAAACTATAAAGACGCTGTTTCAGACTTTTTCATATACATGTAAATTCAGGTAGAATATTTTTCTTTCTTTTATAGAATCAGCTCTTTGTCTCATTAAGGAGCCTCACATGTGTGAGAATAATACAAATTATTTCATTTTCTCCACCAAATAAAAGCTAATGACACTCGCTGGTACATCCTCCAAAGTTGAGTCATATTGAGATTAAAAAGAAAAAATCTTTCTCAGATGTCCTAGAAGAGTAGCTACTTTACATCAGAGTTCTGGTCACTTCAGTTATATTGCTCCTTTCTGGGCTGCCCTGTGAGAAGTGAAGAGAAAAATTAATTACCTGTAAGGGTTCTTCATCAATGCCAACAGGATGACATGAAATGATGTACTCAGAACTTTCTTGGAATGGGGTCCAAGAGATGGTTGTCTGAGAGAGAGCTTCTTGTCCTGTAGAGGCATTTGGATTGAGTCCCAGAACGTGAGGGTAGAGGTGATGGTCTACATCTCCCCTGGGGACGTGGCCAATTTGGATCTCCTCATCTACATTCGGCGGGTATGGTCTTGGCCTATGCCTTACGGGGGTGGCCGTTGTGGGTGGTGTGGTCCGCCTAAAACCATGTTCCTCAAAGATCATTTGTTGCCCAACACTGGGTTGCTGACCGGAAGTGCCAGGAAGCTGAATACCGTTTCCAGTGTCATACCCAGGGTTGGTGATGAAAGGGGTCTTTTGAACTGTGGAAGGAACATCCAAGATCTCTGGTCCGTGAAGATTGGGGTGTGGAAGGGTTACCAGTTGGGGAAGCTCATCTAGCCGAGAGAGGTTAGAGCCAAAAAAGCAAAGCGCGTTAAGCTCCGGGAAGCAGCAGCAATGATCATTATCAATTCAGGCAACAATGATTGTTCACCAACGTGATCAAAGCCCCCAGAAAATCAGCACATCTCAGATCACAAAACACTTTTTCCAGAAAGAAATCTTTGTGATATTTCTCAAAGGTTTCTTTATAGTTTAGAAAGAAAAAAGTGTTAGTATAAATTTATCATACACACAAAGCTTTGAACCACTAAGCCCCTAGAAGCTGCGTCTGCCCAAATTAAGCCTAATGGAACTAAAATGTGCAGCCTTTTTTCTTTTTTAATTTGAGAAGCAAGTTGTAGGAACAAGAATCTGGACTAATCATATTAGTGTCTGAAGCATGAGAATTACAGAGGTTTGGCTCAATAGTTTTTCATGGTTTGAAGTGGTAAAAATAGATAAAAACACACGTTCATTTTTAAAATTTTCCTATCCCCATGAATATAGCATTTTCTTCATATTAAACTGCAAGTGGATGAAAAGGTAAGACATTATTTAGTTACAAGTTTTAGAAACCAAATAACAAATAAAGACAAACGGGAGGGGTTTCTCTCCCTCCTTTTTTTTTTTTTTAAGGATTTTAAAATTCAACAGAAGGTATAGAAGAATAGCAATGATAGCAACTTGGTTTTACAGTTTAATGTCTGGTTTGAATTTTTAAAAGATGAATAACAAAGCTTTATATTGAGTGGTTGTAGCAAAGACAAAAAAAAAAAAACAAACTCTGCAGAGCATGTTGGATTATTCCTGCTACCAAAGAATACATATATAAGCTATGCTGTTAGGAAAAAAAAATCCATGAGAAATGCAACAGAACATGGAGAACCTTTTCACATTGCAAAATTGATCATTGGTTATCAGTCTTGTCTTAACTTTCTCCTTGTTACCCAAAAGGTGCTCTTACCTGTCTTTTTCCTCCCGATCAGAGGCTCACTCTTCTGATTATTTTTCAGGGCAATGATGTAGATTGTGTACTCGGTTCCTGGTTCCAAGCCTAACATAAGACGAGAACCATCACATTATGTCAGCGGGCTCAGCTAGCCAAGTGGAAGTCACCTCCCCAGCAGAGGCTACTGGGAGCAAACATCTCCTCTCTCCAGCTGGCTGGTGGCCTCTTGAAAGGTAAGATCGACTTCACTTTTCTTCCATAAACACCCAAATACTCTGCGTGTGAAGGCCACGCAGCAAGTTAAGTATTTTACTATCAAATCTCATACCTCGAATAAGCACTGTTAGGCTAACTTTTCCAGGGTATTCTTTTAACATGTGGTCTTACTGCCTTTTTGAACTTAAGAAAAATCGACAGGCATCATATACTACCAGTGGAATACAAGTTTGGAAGAGATCATTGCAGATCATACACATGAATCTACTTAGGCCTAATAACCAGGCAGCCCTCAAGGCAGATCAATGAAAAGTGAAGCTAACGGTGAGTACTGTGCAGGATGGAATGACCAATCTTTATGTGGTCTCTGTAGGAAGCATCTGGTTCAACTCCTCTCATATCTGATTCTATTTTCCTGTCCCCCCAAATTCTAAAGAAAGCAGTATCTCTGATATCTGCACATTCTATAGTCATTTTTAAGTCCAGATGATACTCTATATATACACTTTAACACATTGATTGCCACACTAGAAAAAAAAAAAGTTTTTCCCTCAGGCCACGGTGTTTTATTACAAAAATAGAATAAAAACTTCAAAAACAAAATGATCCTTTCTAATTTAATGAAAAATTTGTTATTTTTTATCATTTTCTGTGTGTGAGTTATATGCAACTTCAAAAATAATTCTCATGGCTCCCAAGTTGAAGAGACATGTCAGTTACATGTGCTTCATGAGGCCTCAGGCTCAAAGCTAGCGTGAGTTAAATACAACTCCCATGGCAATTAATGTGTTAAATAGTTAATCTCTGGGACAAAAATAATACCAGAGGCTTATAATATTTCTCATTGAGGTGGAAAACTCCTATTCTTCAATTCCAGGCTATCTCTCTGTTGTGCGTGGTTGGGAGAGCTTTGCCTTGAGACCTATTCTGTGAGATTGGACACCCAGGGCAGTGGCAGGTGGTGCTCCGGCATGTCCCAAAAGATCACCAGATCTACAGAGAGCTGAGTGTAATGACAGGATCACAATTAGCTAGTTTGCTTTGAAAAATCTCTTTTCCCAGGACTGAACTAACAGATATCTGGAAAATTCACAGCAAAAAAAAAAAAAAAAAAAAATGTCTAGTGATACCATTAGGATAGTACTGAAATTGCATTTTCATGAACTCATGCCTTTTGAAATGTACTGAGCTCTATAGCTCCTACACAGAGAATGCCTTTTGAAGTTATCAGGAATAGGGCTTCTTGTTTTCATGATACAGCATCAAAGACACAGTTGGAGTTTGCTAATGATGTCACGTGTCCTAGGGAGTATGGAAGAGAATCACAGCATGGAAACAGCAGTACCAGTAATAGTCGCCTCTGTGACACCAGGGCGGGGCCGAGGGACCACTTCTCTGGGAGGGGACCCAGGCTTCTCAGACTTGATGATGTAGCCAGTAATCTTGGCTCGGGGTGGCTGCCATGATACCAGCAAGGAGTTGGGTGTGGTGGCCAGGAAACGCAGGTTGGATGGTGCATCAATGGCTAAAAGAAAACAAAATTAAGTCTCTAAAAAAATGAATAGACAAGAAAATTCCCACACTTTTCCCCCCGGCCCTTCTAAACAGAGTTGAGAAAATCTGAAAATTCTGTAGACAGGATTCACTGAGATCTATAATACAAAAATATTAGCCTCATTTGTTTCTTCAGTTCACGCGACTGATTACATGTAAGTTGGTGGCATTTCCTCAGTAGAAAGTATAGTTACCAGTGGAGGCGTCGATGACCACCGGGGAGCTCCGGGCATTGTCATTCAGGGTGTACAGATAGATCTTGTAGTCGGTGCCTGGCTGCAAACCTGGTATTTGAGAAGAGATGATTTTTACTGGTGCTTGCTTTGCTAGGAGAATTTTCAAGCTCACCTGCGATTTTCTTGGTTCCTCTACCATCCCATATTCATGTACACCACAAAAGTAGCCCACATTTGAACAGTAAAGTAGAGCATGGTATGAATGCTAACTGTTAATGAGAAATGTATCTGCAAAGCAAATCTCTAATGCAGACAAGGACATTGGCTAAAGTAAATTTTGAAATGCAAAAATGCTATGTTAAAAGCAGCCCTCTTGGAGGATGAGGGGTGGCCACCTATCAAAAGGGTTTTCTCTTTAGAGTAATCAAATTATCACTGGTTAATACCTGGAATCAGAATTTTAAAGCTCTAAAAGACCTAAATTGACCCAAACACTAAACATTCTCAATTACAACTGTGAGCTTTATTAAGTAGTATAAATTAATTATGCTTTTTAATCTATGTTAATGCTAAGACCTATACATCATGATCTTATTTCTTTTGGTTTTAAGCCTTATGTTACCTTTTTTAAAATAAGGGCACAGTGATGAAAGATCAAATCTGATGAATGAAACTTAAGCCAATTCTCTGACAAACTTTACACAAATCAGGCATTCAAAGGACAAAACTATTTCTCATCATGGTATGAAAATACCTTTCTAAAACTGGGTCATCATTAAACACTGAAAATAAATTTAATCAGTGCAAGTCATAGAATAATAAGTCAGTTTACATGGTGGATATCTGTTGACAAATGTGGTTAGTGCAGTGAGTTCCTGACCTGTGATGGTGTAGCTTCTGACATCTGGCTTGATGGTTCTCTGGATTGGAGGCTGGCCATTGGCTGGTATGGCATCAACTTGGAAGCCAGTGATCGTCTCAGTCTTGGTTCGCCAGCTAATGGTGATGGTGGTCTCAGTAGCATCTGTCACACGGGCCCTTCTTGGAGGGCTGACGTCTGCATAGGATCATAGCTAGAGATTAATGTCTACTTGGCTCACACATGTAAAGTTTTGGTATTTTTAAGTATTTCCCTATTACACATCAAATACATCCATTTCAGAAAATACATAACTATTAATGTGTAGATTATCTCCTTTGACATTCAGAGAGACAGGTCAACAGTAATTAGAAAATATGAAAATATTCACCTCTCATGCCTTTTCGTTTTTTTTTTTTTTTTTTTTTGAGACAGAATCTCACTCTTTTGCCCGGGCTAGAGTGCCATGGCGTCAGCCTAGCTCACAGCAACCTCACACTCCTGGGCTCAAGCAATCCTTCTGCCTCAGTCTCCCGAGTAGCTGGGACTACAGGCATGCGTCACCATGCCCGGCTAATTTTTTCTATATATTTTTAGTTGTCTGATTAATTTCTTTCTATTTTTAGTAGAAACGGGGTCTTGCTCTTTCTCAGGCTGGTTTCGAATTCCTGAGCTCAAATAATCCGCTCGCCTCAGCCTCCCAGAGTGCTAGGATTACAGGCGTGAGCCACCGCACCCGGCCATCATGCTTTTTCTTTTGAAGAATGAAAAACTTTATAGATACTACCGGTGGTTGCCAGGGCTGGATTTATAGTATCTACAAATACTTAGGTAAGTGTTAAAATTATTAACTTATTGTAATGTAAAAATATGTGTGGTAGAAGTTATAATAACATGGCCAGAAAGCAATTTTATTGATATAGCAGAAAACTAGAATCTAAGCCCAATTTGGTCCAATACTTATTGCACTGTTAAGGTACAGCAGAAGCCAATGTGTCCTCCCCAAAGCTCTATAAAAACAAATTACAACACATAGAGCATAAACAAGATGTTGGTCCTAGTCCATAGCGCCAACATTATAACACTATAAAGTGGTTCTATTCTATGTGTCAGAAGACCACTTTCTGGAGAGTCATAGAAGGTGACAATAGTATGTCAAAATCAAATAGGCTATCAGATCAATTTCTAAATTGAGAATCATTCCACTGTTAACTTCCTGATCTAAAAAAACATTTACCCTTCTTTAATTTTTGTGTATACAGAAGCTTTGTCAATACTAAAATATTTGATTACTTACTCTCCAGAGTGGTGACAACTCCCTGAGCTGGTCTGCTTGTCAAAGTGTCCTTAAGAGCATAGATACTCACTTCATATTTGGTGGCCACCTAGAAATAAGGGCATGGTCAGTTTTAACAGTGTCATCCTCTGAAACTCTGGGATCTTCGCTACAGCATTAGGTAAACGCAATGGTTATAGAAGAAAAAATTAAGTAGCAAAATCCATCACACTGTGAATTCCTACATTAATTTCATTCCTATAGAACAGATGATCAACAACATAGTTAAAGTAAATGAATTTATAAATGCTCTTAGGAGTTAAGCCCAAGTAAACTATAGCTTACATACTTAAATTAAGCTGATAAAAAAATGAGGAAAATGGATATTAGCCTGTTTTTCTCCTTTTTGATCTGACAGGTGTAAATCATTAATTTTTTCTGATCACAGTTAAAGGGAATGTTCTGTTCTTTCTCTGAACCCTCTTTCTCTAGTTTTCCCTGGAATTGGCCTCATGTTAAGATGTACACCAATCCCCTAGGTTCCTGACTAGTTTTCTGCATGCACATCTAGAAGGAAAATGTTTCAATGAGGGGAGGGCCAGGTTGGGTTGGTACAAACTGGAAAATATTCCTTGCCAAGGTATCAGAGTTAAGAAAATGCATAACTAAAGTGGATTTATGCATTCAGCCTATGGATGTATAACTTGCCCCACCCCCACACCCTTTAAAATAAGCAGAATTTATCTAAAAGCTGCACAAAATCCAAAGCTATTTATAAAATTCTGTCTCAATAGTCATCTGGAAAAGCTTAGGTCAGTATAAAGGAATCCAATTGATATAAAATTACAATAAGAGTGTTTGATGGCAGAGGAAAAGAACACAACTAGATTTATTATGACAATTCACAGGACAGGTGCCTATGAAAAAGATTTTTAAAAAAAGATCTATTATGACATTATATTTCCAACATCTCATAAACTATGCAAGAGATGACCCACTTCTTTATTCTAATGAAAGAAGGCCACTGCTTACCATGAGTCCTGATACAACCACAGATGAGCTGTCGGGAGCAAGGTTGATTTCTTTCATTGGTCCAGTCTTCTCCTTGGGGGTCACCCGTACTCGATATCCGGTGAGCTGAACATTGGGTGGTGTCCACTGGGCGCTCAGGCTTGTTGGTGTAACCTGAGTGAACTTCAGGTTGGTTGGTGCAGGAATAGCTGTCGGGATGGTCATTGGTTAGAGATTATCTTATAGGAAATGGGGAAAAGGTAAAATAATGTGAATTCCAAGAAGTAGAATGGATTGTTCTGTTAGGGTTAGGTGAGTTCCCTGGTCAAGCGAAGATTTAGTAAAATAAAGTACAAGAAAGGATGCAAAATGAAGAAAGTGCTTGCTAAAAAAACGTGTCTTATATCCACCAATTCTCAGAATCATTGGGAACACTTGGGTAAATGCCAGAACTCTAAGAGACTTCAGGTTTTAGAAGGATTTTTGTTGTTGTTGTTGTTTTCTCTTAAAAAACAAAAAGGTTGAATTGGCTTATTGGCCATTAGGATTGATTTTCCATTTGTATGAAAGATGAGCAATAGCCCTTTTTCTATATAAATTATCTTCATATGGAAAACCATTTCACAGAGTATTCCATCCAAAAAAGATAGAATTATGTTTTTATTGTCTCTTTATTTGGATCCTAGGGCAGATATCACTGCTAAATTTGAAGTATTCTCTGTAGTGCGGCATAAGAAGAAAATTGGCTCCCAACAGAAGCAGAAAAGAGAAGCAAAAAGCAATAATACAGATTGTCACCTCTAGGGTTTATGCTGTCACCAGCATACATCAATAGCATTCTACTCTGCTTCAGAAACAAAGCACAAGAGGATAAATTACTGTGGAAAGCATTTGTCCTATTGATTGTTTCCTATGTTTCTGAATCATAATCATTTAAGCAAATTATATACCAGCACATGATATCTAAACAGAGAAGAAAGGTCTTACCCATGTGTTCTCAGAATCATGCTGCTATGAAATGCCCCAGTTTGGGTTCCTATTTTAGAGTAAGCCCTACGATGTCGAACTTCTTTCATTTAGACACAGTGGGGGCAACCACAGGGAGTCATAGCTTAGGAAACAATCCACAATTTTAGTATCATCTTCAAATGTCTTGCTTTGTGGCCTTGTTTATAAGCCAAGCTACTCCAAAATGTCTTTTTCTCAGACGTGTTTACCTAAATATCGCCTAAATTTTATTGCTTATTACCATTCCTCTTTAAAGGGGATCTTTCCTAAAAGATTCAATAGCCCAGTAAAGTATAATTCATTCAACAGGGCGTAAAGCCGCTGCTCCCATGAGCACCTGGGTGGTGCAATGAACGATATACCTGTGGACTGGGTTCCAATCAGGGGCTGGCTCTCCATATCATCGTGCAAGGCAACCACACTGACTGTGTACTCAGAACCCGGCCTGAGGCCTTGCAGCTCTGCAGTGTCTTCTTCACCATCAGGTGCAGGGAATAGCTCATGGATTCCATCCTCAGGGCTTGAGTAGGTCACCCTGTACCTGGAAACTTGCCCCTGTGGGCTTTCCCAAGCAATTTTGATGGAATCGACATCCACATCAGTGAATGCCAGTCCTTTAGGGCGATCAATGTCTGTTAGGCAAATTAATGGTAAGAGGTTATGTGAAAAGCAAGTTGTGAAATAAGCATTTTTATTACATGCAAAGCAGTTTTGCAGATACCATTTTCTTTGATGAATTAAATTCTAATTAACCCACTATGAAATAGAAAATTACTTAACACTTGCTTAAATTTGTTTGGTTTAGAAAATATTTAATGTTGCATCACTTATTAAACATAAGTGTACATGAGATGAGTAGACACTCTGAAAAATGCACCCCAAGTGGGGATTTATTTATATTAATTTAAAGATATTCTACCAAGATTTGTTTTTGCAATGTGATGTTAGTCTCATAGACCTGGATTTTCTATACCTTGGAAGTGGTAAAGTTGATTTTCAATGTTAGATTCAAGTTGTTATAATGGTTCTTAAATTCTTCTTTTCCCCTCTCTATAAAGTATTCATATTACACATTGGTCCAGCCACAGTCCTCCAAATGCTTCAAACATAATAGCTACATAAGGAACATTTCAATCAACTTTACCATCCAGTCATAGAAAAGAAGGTCCTAGCAAAATATTTTGTAGATTTGCTATAGGCAAATAAGATTTTGCTGAGGCCATTTGAGCAAAAGAAATTCAAAGCACAGCTACTATGGTAGTTGCACAACTTCTTCCCCTCTAAGTTTATTGCTTGGCACTGAGAAGGAAAAATGTTTGTAAAGGGCTCAGCTCAAGATACAAACTAACCAACAAGTTGGCTTTCTCTACTTACAATTGCAAAAGACATGCGGAGGGCATTCACACACCCAAGAACAAAATTTGACTTTGAAAATGGAAACCAAGCAGTGGTTACGTACTAGTTACTGCAGTCTGAACCAGAGGCTGACTCTCTCCATTTCGATTCTGAGCATAGACACTGACCACATACTCCACTGTGGGCTGCAAGCCTTCGATGGTCATTTCTGTTTGATCTGCAAAGGGAGTGAAAAGCAAATGCAGCATCTGTGTCATCCATTATAAAGTCATCTGAGAGACCTCTAGAGTTTGGTAACAAGCACATGGTGGCCTAGAATTTCCATTTGAAGGTTTATCATGAAAATATGGAGGAGTCAGATATCGCTTTCCTCTTGGACAAACCTGTTCATTGCTAATACAAATTACCATATTGGAATAAAGACACACCCAAGGATATGCTCTAAAACTTAATATGCCGCTAACAATTAATGATATTGGTCTTGAAAAATGTAAAAATTAACTTGACTTTAAGAGATTGTCTTAAGATCCTAATCTTACAAGTATTTTATATGAAAACCAAAACAGCAGAGCTGAAAGGACATGAAAGAGTCAATACATTCCTCTCTTCTTAGTGTACATGAAAAACAACAGAACAAGGGTGGACCTAATAATTTAAGATGTCTATATCACTAAACAGAACTATGGATGTAAAACAGAAACATACTTACCCTAAAACTTCTACAGTGAAGTGAGTTGGTAACAATCTTGAGCTCTGAACTCATGAATGGGAAAAATGATGGCATATGACACAAAATACATAGTCCTCACAGCAAGGTGGCCATGCATTTTAAAAAGAATATTGTGTGATCCTATTCCATTTATCCTATTGTATGTGAGATGCTGGTTATTCTTACCTGGACCTGCAGTTTTAGTTTTTGATGGTCCTGGGCCATTTTTGGGAGTGGTGGTCACTCTGTAACCGGTAACAGGGGAGCTTGAAGGCAGCCATCTGACACTAATGCTGTTGTCCTGAACATCAGTCACTTGCATCTGGGATGGTTTGTCAATTTCTGCAAATAAAAGCAAGGAAAAAACCTGTGAAGTCCCAATGTTAGGGGATAAGACTGGACAAGTCCCCGTCTCTAGGTCTGGTACATATTTGAATGATCTCTTGCTACTATTACTCTCTCCCGGGTGTTTCTTTTTGTAGGAATACAGAGAGCTTTTGGGAGGATGGGGCGTGCATCTGAATCCCACTGTCTGTTTTTAAGATAGCTGCTTCATTCACAAAGAAGCTATATTCCAGTAGGTGTCTGTCTTTTTACTTTAGCAACTCATTCATTCATTTTTCAGCAAATATTTTATTTATTTATTTATTTATTTATTTGTTTATTTTTTGAGACAGAGTCTCACTATGTCGCCCGGGCTAGAGTGCCATGGCATCATCCTAGCTCACAGCAACCTCAAACTCCTGGGCTTAAGCAATCCTTCTGCCTCAGCCTCCTGAGTAGCTAGGACTACAGGCATGCGCCACCATGCCCGGCTAATTTTTTTCTATATATTTTTAGTTGTCTGATTAATTTCTTTCTATTTTTAGTAGAGACGGGGTCTCGCTCTTGCTCAGGCTGGTCTCGAACTCCTGAGCTCAAACAATCCACCCACCTCAGCCTCTCAGAGTGCTAGGATTACAGGTGTGAGCCACCGTGCCTGGCCAGCAAATATTTATTGAATGTTCTCTATGCCTATCTCTACTGCAGGCATGTAGAATATGTCAATTAACAACACTGACAGAAATTCCTGCCCTTGAGGTGCTTTCTTGTATATCTGGCTCAAAACTTTGTTGCTGCAGGTATTAGCTGCAGGTTGTAGTCTTATTAAATAGGAAAATCAATTTTACAATGAGGAAAATACTTTGGGAGGATATTTAAAAAAAACTATATCTGAATAAATAAGCTTGTGTAACCCCAGAGGAGGAGTTTGTACCTGTTCGGTAATCAATGGAAATTGGCTTGCTGCTCGCTGGGCTGTCCCCACGGCCAGTGACAGCATACACAGTGATGGTATAATCTACTCCAGGTTTAAGGCCGGAGATGGTAGCTGTAGACTTGCTCCCAGGCACAGTGAACTCCTGGACAGGGCTATTTCCTCCTGTATGATAAGGGGTTAGTTCAGAGGGTGAGGGGCTTAGAGTTCCTTTGGCATTACTGATTAATTAAATTAACATATTGAAAGCAGCATGTAAATCACATCTTACTGCTTATTCCCTTTTAAAGAGTGCTATTCATAGGGCCTGAACAGAAAAGTGTATTTATGCCTGTAGTAAACCTTGGTAAGTGTATAAAAATTGGGAGAAAATTGCAGTTAATGCTATTTTAACATTCCAGCTTTAAAATGTCACTGAGCTGTAGATTAACATTAAGAGGGAGAAGAAGGTAAGCCCTCAGCCCAGGATTGCATATAACGTGTCCTTCTTAAAAATTCTAATGGAATATACTCATGTTGAATACAATTTGGAAAATACACAAAAGTAAAAAGAAGAAAAAATAAAAATCGCTTATCTCACCACTGATAATATATTTGTGAATTTACGATCCTTTTTTTCCTCAGCTCTGATGTTTCCCCTCTAGTTGTATTATATAAACAACTTTTTATCTTGATTTTGCAATAAATTATATCATCCATATCTGCCATGTGTTCTTGAGAAAGACAGGGCTCCATTGAATGGACTTGCCAAAGTTTCTTTCATTGCATGTTCACTGTTGCCCAACAGTGACAGAATCTGATTTGATCAGAGTGTGAAATGGGATTTTACTACTGTACCTGTTTCCCCATAGGTGATCCTGTAATATCTCACGGTGACAGCAGGGGCATCCCAGCTGATTAGTAGGCTGGTGGGGGTCGCGGCAACCACTTCCAGGTCCCTTGGAACATCAGAAACTAGAAAAAAACATGAGAACATTTCACATCCATAATTTTCCAACAATACACAGATTTACTCTGTTCATTTTCCACATAATTGTCTTTTTGATTCCTTCAAACAATAATGTAAATACTATGCAATAGAGCAGAATAAAAAATTATGAATAATTCAAGGTAAGAAGTTAAGGAGCCCATTCAAATTGTGATAAAATGATTGTTTCAAATTTATCATAGGAATTTTTCCCTCAAATTTTTATTTTAAAAAAAATTTCAAAACTACAGAAAAGTTACAAAAATAATACAATGAACACTCATTTTCCCTCAGGTATTTGCTAATTAGTAAAATTTGCCACATTTGCTTGTTTCTGTCTCTCCCTCTCTCTCTCGCTCTCTCTTTTAACCATTTGAGTCAAAGATACAGGTACCATGATGACACTCCTCCCTTAAGTACTTCAGCATCTGTCTCCTAAGAACAATGATGCTATTACAGTAAAATTATATTTTTAAGGGCACTTTGAAACAGTGTAAAGTTTTCTATATTATAAATAAAACTTTAGTTATCAGGAATACAAAAATACTTCAATCAGGTGAGAAATTTCTTGGGATAAAGAAATTATCTTCTTTAATATATTCTAAGAGGGAGATTTTTCTCCACATTCTCTCACTTCCCTCTCCATGTTTCCTAACCATGATCTATTTTTTTTAAGAGATGATGACAGACAACATAAAGCTCTTTTACACAATACACCAATTGTGCAGGGAAGTATTCTGAGTTTCGCTGTACACCAGAAAACAAATTACCTGTTGACTGTTGGCCAACCAAGGGGGGACTCTCCTCTCTGCCATTAAGAGCAACGATGCTGACCACATACTCTGTGCCTGGAATGAGGTTGGTGAGGGTGATGGAATTCCGGGAGGGGGGCACTCGATCTTTTCGAGGTCTTCCACTAAGGTGCTCAGGATGATGGCGGATCTCGTAGCCAGAGATGGTGGCGCGAGGAGCCATCCAGTGGACAGTGAAAGAGTTGGGAGTGATATCAGAAAAGTCAATGCCAGTTGGGGAATCAAGACCTGTTTTTCCCACCCAAGGGAAGGAGGTTAAAAAAAAAGAAAAGACACCGCCAGATTAGGAAGTGATGAAGACTACAGGGGAAAGTAACGTATGTCCAATGTTTCTATTCTTTCTCATCAACGTCATGATTTGCCATAAACCTCAGATTATGACCTACTGATTCTAAGCCACATAGGAATTTAAAAATCATGAACTGACTCAGTTCAAAATAGCCAACTCAAACACTCATTTTTTCTTTTGCTAAGTAATCCAAGTGATTTTTATGTGTTACTGCAGTAAGATTTCTGTATCATGTTTGAAGAGAGGTGTTAGAGATCTTCTGGGAATTGATATTTTCAAATACTTCAGTGTTCAAGTATTCTGTGTTCTTATCCTGTAAGTAAGTGTACCTCTCAAAGTAAGGCAAGACCTGCCCACTCTCAAATTAAGTTTTTGGCTCTTACAGAAGCTTTCTGTGCTCAAGAGGGAATTGATATGTCAACAGAGTGGTAATGATGCCAAGCATAAAACTTTCTAAAACTAAAGACATTATCCTGGACAAATTACAATGTAGGTAATTCCTAATGAATTGAGAAGTTAGTGCATTTTTGAAAAATTAATAAGAATTCAGAGTTTATCTCAAATTCAAATCACTTAGCCTCACTAGGACTTCCAGCAAATTTCTGTTCCAATAATATAACATTCACTCATTCTGTTCAATAATATACTCAAACACAATTGAGATATTGTAACTCCTTTTTGGAGGCAAGTGAACTATAGGTAAATTAATGAATATATTAACCTGTAGTTTTTTAAAAGAAAAAATTAAAAGAAGCACTCATTTAAAAAAGGATATAATATTTATGGGCTATTCAATTCAACTTACTTCTTGTAGTAAATGAATATTTTATTAAGTAGAAAGAAAACACAAACTTCCTGGCTTAGGAAAAGAAGGAAACTACTGAGATGACAATGACAATGACAGCCATCAGACAGAGCTGCTTAATGAGAAGGAATGTCCACCAACTCTAAGTAACAGAGTATGAGATATTCTTCTTAGGAGATTTTTTATTTAAAAGGGTAGATAACGAAGTTTCTGGACTAATTTCTTAGTAATTGAAAGTCTAGGTAATTACTGAGTAAGGGCATCTTTTAATTTTTAAGACCAGTGATAAAAAAAGTACCATAATGACAAGTCTATACACACCGCCACTACCAAAAACAAGAATATATTTTTAGAAGCAGCATTTCATTTCGCTATTTAAAATTGGTAGGTGAAAGCTACTTGATAAACTTATTGCCAACATGACTCACCTGTTTTCTGTCTTCCTCTAAGAGGAATGCTCTCGTGTTGTTCATAGACACTGGAGACACTGATCAAATATTCTGTACCAGGCAGGAGATCTGAAGAGGCAAGTGGGACTTATTTTAAACTTGTGCTTGACAGGTGGTGAAAAAAACAAAGCACTCCTGGGACTATTTCAACTGATGAAATATCCAAGCTTCCAGTCCTATAGCCTACTTGCACCTAAGTGAATGCTACTACCTGGAAATGGTCTGTAAGCAGGTGATATGGAAGGGTCACCCTACCCTGTAGCCTCTCTAAGCCCCTACCCTCAGTTCCACCTCTGGGAGTGTGGCTCAGCTGGACCTGGAGTCTCATGGAGTTGCATATTACATAGTAGTATTTCTCTCGCCCACTTGACAGTAAGTCTGTGGAGGCCACATGATAATAACTGCTGGGGTGCTGTGGATTAGAAACCTATAAGGTAGTTTGTTACTTTTAAAAGGAGCTTTATTGCCATACAAAATACTGCATATATTTAAAGTGTATAGTTTGACACTTGTATAACTTCTGAAACCATCACCATACTCAGGATAATGAACATACCTATTACCTCCAAAAGTTTGCTTTACTACCATTATCTTCATTTTATAAATGAGAAAACTGAGACACAGAGAAGTTCTCTTCTTTAATTTATTTCCCCAAGATTATACAGGGGTGAACCCAGGCCAGGACCAGTGGTCTTAATAAGTAACCTTTACCGGAAAGGAGCCACCATCCAAAGGGAAAGTAATCAGTTCTGCTATATTAAGGTGAGAATAGAATATTCAAATATATATATACACATCCCTGAGTACCCTTTTCTCCCATTTTGATATACAGTCATTCGTTGCTGAACGATGGGGAGACTTTCTGAGAAATGCATTGTTAGGCGATTTTATCATTGTGCGGACATCTTAGAATGTACTTACACAAACCTAAATGGTATAGCCTACCGCGCACCTAGGCTGCTTGGTATAGTCTATTGCTCCTAGGCTACAAACCTGTACAGCATGTTACTGTGCTGAATGCTATAGGCAACTGCAACACAATGGTAAGTATGTGTGTCTCTAAACATATCTAAGCATAGAAAAGGTACAGTAAAAATACAGTATTATAATCTTATGGGACCACCGCCTTATATGCTGTCAATGGTTGACTGAAATGTCAATTATGTAGAGCATGAATGTACCGAAAAGGTGCAGAGTAAGGTTTCTAGCCTTTGATCTCCTACTCACTAGACCCTCATTCTCCTGCCCTTCAACACGCCATCTGCCCTTCAACCTTTCTGCAGAGGCTCCTGCAATGTTTGGAAAAGCACTAGACAGGGGACTGGATGTGGATGTGTGGACTCCTCTTCCTCCTCCTCCTTGGCCAGGGGCAATTTACTTAACCACCAGGGACCTCAGTTGCGTCATCTTTTAAAGAGGACCATAATGACTTCTCTAGTGGGGAGAGGGCTACCTTAAGGTCACTTGTAGCATTAGGATCATAATAAGGTCTTAGAATACATCCTTAATATGTGACAGGCCTATGGCTAAGGTGGGGCAGACACTGTGATGCAGGGGCTTATACACTGGGTGATGCTGTAATTACTGATTCCTGAGTGCTCTAGAACAGAAGCAATAGCCCCGTGGGTGTGGATATGCAGACGTAAAGATATTCTTGCCCTCACCACGAAATGAGAAACCAAGATCATGGTCATGCTGAGCTGCTTTTCTTTGTGTTTTTTAATCTAAAATATGACAGAAAGGTAGAGGATATTTTCAGACCATCATTTGGTAAAGTACCTAGATGTAAGTGAGTTTTCCCTTATATAGAATCTGGTGCTGTTCTAATGTATTTTATTATTACAGTACCATGAAAATAGTAAAGAAGTAACATTTATGTGAAACACAGCGCCATGTTGCAGCTTACTCTTATTTTCTTTAATAAAAGATGTCTGTTCCAAAATGGTTGGAACTAGAAAGAGACAATTTCCATAAATTGTTGTTGTTTATTTAATGTCACTTGGAAAACATCTTAAGTCCTCAGCCTTCTGAGAAATCCTTCTAACAGATTCTTTTGAAGTACAAATTAAACTTTTGACTCTTTCTTCAAAACAAGATCTATCCCAAGCAATCAGTCACTGTTTCTAAGTTTTCAAATACTAAATAGATCATCTGCTGACACTTTAAAAAAAAAATGAGAATAAAGCAAATATGGTGACACTATTTTCAATCCTCATCTTTTCCTCTCTCTAAAGATTTAAATTTGGTCATGTAATTTCTCCTGATATTCACTTATTTTTATGTGCTTATTTGGAAGCAGAATTTATTTAAAGTCTTGGAACTTCCCTACTGGTGTTTTTCCACTGTGATTTTTAAAAAGTTGGAGATATCAAAAGTATATCAAGATAGCAACAAACATTACATTTTTCAAAATTCATGGAGCTGCACATTAAATTTGGAGTTTAGCTTGTAGCTCTGTTGCAGCTCTCTTGAGAACTCAGAATTCATTTGCTATGTTGTGGATTAGACATGTTTGACTGCTTACTTGTTAAGACCACCGCATTGTCCGAAGGAGAAATTGACAACTCCGCAACATCTTCCTCATTTTTCACAGGCGAGTAGCGCACCAGGAAGTTGGTCAAATCAATGGATGGGGGTGGGGCCCAGGTGATCCGCATAGTGTCTGGACCAATGTTGGTGAATCGCAGATCAGTGGGAGGAGGGACAGCTGGTTTCAAACAAGAAGGAAGACTTAGTTAAGGTAATTTTAAAATTCAAGCTAACAACACAGCTGGAAAGGTAAAACCAATATTTCATGCATAAAGGAAACAGAGTCATAATCATGCAAAATGGTCTAATATAAATCTAATCTAAGTCACAGTGTACTACTGTTAAAAATAAAACACTACACAGTACTGTTAGGCCCCTTTAACCTTTCTGCCATCATCAATATATTTTAAAAAATAATTTTAATCTACTATAAAATACGTTGATTTTAGACACATTATGAATACCACAGAAGATTATTTTATCCCAGGCTGAAGAGGCTTAAGTTGCCACACAGCAAAGAGAAACATAGCAGTACTTTCCAAAGAAACACATGCACAACGACAAAAAGACAAGAGGGTCCTAAATTCCCCCCCCAGGAGATGTCTACAGCTACTGGCATAGCCACAATTCTATTCAGTGAATTCTACTTACAAGTGAAAAGGATTCATGCAAATTGGTTCTCAGCGTGTTTCTTCCCATGCAGGGCAGAGAACCTTTAAAATGTTGCATGCTTGTCCCCAGACTGTGGTTAAAAAGGTGTTTCTTTCCCTCATGATAGCAACAAAACCTAGAATGCTCCAAAATTTTTCTCCTACCTCAAAACAACCTCCATCCATTCTACCCTAAATTTTGATGGGATTTCACTCAGCTACAAAGAAGCAATATGGTAGAGTTTATCAAAGGGTTTAAGGAAGAGCATAATGGTACATTTGGAAGCATATTTCTTATAATTAACTGGTGCTTATTGTACAATTGGGCATTCATGTTAGATTTTTTTTAAATGTCTAGGTCTGCAATTTTAATTAATCTTAATTCTTTTATATTTAATACGTCAGATATCTATATTTATCTAGCTTTATATATATTTGTGGTTTAAATGAAAGTGCACTTAAGACTACTTGCATGTTTTTAATCCAGTCCGTTTAGCACATGCACTTGATTCCTCATCTCCCAATCTATCCTGTCTTAATCTTTGGCCAATTGCTGTCTTCTCCCTTGAAACGTCCGTATTTAACCAAAGTAACTGGTGGCAGCATGCAACACCATCCATGTCTCAAACACAGAAGTTTTCAAAATTCACCCGTTTGCTGTGTCAGTGTAGTAGGGGCACTCTCTCCGCCATTAATGAGAGTGATAACGCTGATATCATAGTCAATGCCCGGCTCCAGCCCTGTGACTGTGTAGTATCCTACTGAGGAGTCCACAAAATCTTCAAAAATAGGGATACCTTCTCCTGCCGCAACTACTGTGATGCGGTACCCAATAATGGTGGAAGAGTTTAGCGGGGTCCACCTCAGGCCGATGCTTGAATCAGTTATATCAACAAAGCTTAGGTCAGTGAGTTGGGGCACCTCTATTGAGTTACAAAGCAAAGAGGGGGCAAAAGAAAAATAGAAGCAAAAAAAAAAGAGGAAAAAATAAAGCAGTGTATATCAGGTTACCAGTAGTAAATTTAATGGAATGTTAAAGCAATGATGGTAATATGCGATCTGTTTCAAATTCTCTGAAAAGACTTCCTAAACATCATGAATAATTTGCTTCCCTGGGAGAGCAAAACAAGTTACAATATTCTTTCAGGGATTTTCTTGCATTTTGAAAATATCCCTAAACAGCACCATTTGAACTTCTCAGGTTTCTGAAAATCATAGGCCCATTTAGGATGTCAAAGCCATTCCTAGAACCTAAATATAATATCTGCAGTAAGTATGAGCAGTATTTTAAAAAATCGAAAACTGTTTTAGTAGGAAAATAAACGCTTGCATGAAGAAGGTTAAAAAAATATCAATGAACTGGTTTTTTTCTCCCATACAAAACTCATGACAACATCATGGCCATAACGCTAATGCATTATGAATGTATGGTATGAAATGTGCCGTTCAAAGGCACATTCAGGCCAAAGACAGGCCTGAGTTCAAGGCTATTTGCCACTAATTTGTTTAATTCATAATCAAAGTTATTTGATTAGCATTAGTAAAAGCATTCTGCCAAAGAGTGCAAAGGGAAAGATAATCTGTCCAATGCTTTCGCTCTGATAAAATCCAGTTTTGGACAAACAACAAATCTATCCCTAGATAGGCCTTTGTAGTGTTGTCTTTCAATTCACAAGAAAGAACACCCTGAAGGTGGGGCCTTTACTTTTTATTTTTTTCCAATTAAAGAAAAAAAGGATTTGAAATTGCAAGATGAAAATTGGACGTATCAACCAAATGCTATTTCAGTGCTCACATATGGAGACAAAACTATTTTATAGAACAGCTGTTGAAAATTGATATGGACTGTAAAATCAGGCACAAATGTACCAATGGGCTGCATTTACCACATTACTTTTAGCCTGTCAATACTGAGTACAGACACATGACAGCGTTTTAGTAATATTTCCACGTGAGCAGACAGTACAGGGTTAAAGCAGTGGCTGCCGCTCCATTACATACTGTTGCAACAAACAGCATCCCAGTGAAGCACAGACAGTGAAGCAGTGTTAACAGCAAGCATTCGTCCAAACAGTTGCTTTGACTTCATGGTTTTGGAGAGTGAAGTTGGGAAGTCAGAATTAAATCCCAAATACATTTGATACCCTCAACCATCTGGGGATTAAGACGCTAATCCCCATTCTTACTGAAAGTGCCACTCTGAGGATAACAGCTTATTTTTCTATTACCTGGGATGATGGTATCAGAGATAGGGACACTTTCCTTGTCATCTTTGACAGTGTAAACACTGACATTGTACTCCAGGCCAGGACTCAGGTTTTCAAAAGTGCAGGAATTCTGATCGGCGTGGACCACTTCTTCCAACGAATATCCCTGCTGACCGTTTGTAGGGGTTGTGGTAATTCTATAGCCAGTAATGTCTGGAGAAAACAGAAAGGAGGGAGTCAGTATACAGAGCACTTGTGACTCAGAGCATGTTTAACTAGACTGCAATGATGGAGCCACAAAGGGGAATGGGAAAAGGACCTGGTATTTATTGAGGACTCACTGTCATTCAGTGCTTGCAACAACCATTGGAGGCAGGACTAAGACCCTCAATTTAAAAAAAAATCTTGGAATGAGGAAGTGATTACCAAAGGCTTCCCTGTTTCCAAATCCTATGCTTCCTCTACCACGCTAGCCCGCTTTTCCTTAATGGCTCATCTGAGGACAGCTGAGGAATATTCTATTCTACCTGCCCAGTATGGATTCATTCTCAACCCTAAGCACATTTCCCCAAAGATGGCTCTCCTAATTTAAAAGGGCAGAACATATGAGAGACAATCAAGAAAGAAGAAAAGGTGAAAAATAAAAGTGGTGTTACTTATTCTAGAAAGAATACTAATTGTTGAAGACTTCAGGAATCACAGAAATTGGTCAGTAAACAAGTTGGGGGAGGAGAGAGACATCCAAATAAAAATGGTGACGACTAGAGATCTGCAGGGCCAGAATAAAAGTAAGATGAGAAAGTAAATTAAACTTTCTAAGGGGCAAGAAAATGATGGTAAAAGTTTTGTCATTAGGAATAGGAGCAACACTACACTGGTATAAACGAGGAAATACAACTGGAGGAGAAATAGACATTGAGATCATTACATTTGCATCCGATGGGCAGGCTAGGCCATTGACACTAGGTATTATTGGCCCAGCTGCTAACCAGTGTGAAACTTGCTAACTTAAAGTTTCAAATTCAGAGTGACTCGCTAGAAATAGTGTAGCTTTGGCTTGACCTCTGTTTCCACAGATAATGAAAACTTCACCGAAATCACTCTACTTCAGAGGGAGATTAAAAAGGATATTTTAAGCTATTTATAGCTCTATTCTCTGTGATTGCAGACATTGATCAGATTTAGTGAAAATTGCCTTAGCTGTGTGCCCAGGCAAAAATAAGAACTGTATTAGAATTTTTTTACAAAAATTTTATAATTATTTTATCAGTGAAATTAGAAATGGTTAAATAACAACCTAAATATATACCTTAAATTAAGAAATATAGTTGATAAGGATGTAATCAACATTAGTTGAAACTTCTGTTTTTGCTTACTTTAGAATTTTCTCAATAATAAGCACTGTTATATCTCAATAATGATTCCCCAAAACAATTATATTTTAATATATATTTCTCATCTAAAGAGACTTTCCATGTGGTTTTGGCAAAGGTAATATAGATCTAAAATTTTCTGTCATTGCTGCAGTACATCATGCTACTTGAATATTGTTAAAGCTATCTTTTATACATTTCACCATTTTATAAATAATGTTCAATATGCATGAACAAGGAGTTTAGACAAAAGCTTTCTTTAAAGCTTTAAAAATCATCATGGAACCCCTTAACCAAATTTCTCAGTATGTATAGAGTATAAGTGAAAAAGACAAAACAAAACAAAATAAAACCCAAAAACAATGAAGTCCCAAACATGTGATGCTGGGTGTGAGAAGGAGACTAAAAACTTACAATCCCACTTTTGTAATATTTAAAATATGTGACTATGGGTAGGTCAATTTTTTTCTGAGTCTCAGTTTTCTCAGTCTATAAAATGAAGGTATTTCTGCTTTTTATCACCCTTGGATTTTTGTGGTACAATTCATGACAAAATGTTCTGAAAACTTCAGGAAATAATAAACTTAGGATCTATAACAACTTACAAAAGGGAAATTATGTAGTATGACTTCAGCCATTTGTTTGGCAATTTTTTATACACTAGCAAAAGGCACCTTCCAAAATGCTTTTCCCTAGTCCTCATGAGTCCAGTCTGTCTGCCTTTTCCCCACAGACTAGTGTATGATTGTTCTCTTTCCTGTGATTTAAGTAAATATGCATTAACACCCTGCATATGTTGCTTTATACTGTACATCGTATACTCCTGTATTTTTTATGGAGAGTTGGGTACTTGTAACTCAGACTCTTTCTCTGAAAAGAACACAGTTTCTAAAAGCTTTGCCTTGGGAAGGTATTGCATATACTTGCCCTCTGACACGTCCCAGGCTTACCTGGGGTGGTGCTCCTCTCCCAGGAAACCGTAAGCACTCCAGTGTCAGGGTTTGCATCCAGGTGCAAGTTTGTTGGTGGAGACAATGCTATGCAGAAAAAAAAATTCTTAAATTAAAAGTTAAGGCTAACACAAAGCTCTTGGCTTATGCAATGTTTCCTTCCTTCTTTCCTTCCTTCCTTCCTTCCTTTTCTCTCTCTCCTTTCCTCCCTCTCTCCGTTTCTTCTTTTCTTTCAGAATCAGTAAAAATACGAAAACATGATGGATAGCCATTCTGTGACACAGAATTTTTTATGATCAATGATTTTACAATACTTTGAAATTGTTTCCGTCTTGCCAGTTCATCAATCTTAACATGGAAAGAACATTTCTGATACTGTGGAATATATGGCATGAGTTGCATCTGCTACTCCAAATTTAGAAATGCTCACCATAGAAGTAGGGATGAGATATTTCCTCCGTGCCACTCTCATCAGTAAGAAGCGATATTGATATTAGCTTTTTTCAAAAAATGGAACAGTTTTAAACACTAAAAGAAGAGGGAGAAAGAACTCTTCTTACGTGTGACCACTCTGTTTACAATTGGTGGCTCTCTTTCTTGCCCGTCTCTCAGGACTTGGATGGTGTAGACATATTCCACGCCTGGAGTCAAGCCAGACACAACGATGCTTCCCGAGTCTGAAGTCACTTCTCTCGGTGCTTCCCCTCCCTGGCTTGGTCGTACACCCAGCTAAAAAATGCAAAGCAAAATAAACATGAAGGACAAATATTTCCAGAGTTACATTACTGCTAAGAGGCTGTGGTGATGCTTTAAATAATGTGACCTTCTTAGAAACTGCACAATGTACTTTTATTAGAAATTGCATCGGGGACTTATTTTAACTTTATTATATACGTTAGCTGGAAATTCTCTCTACTGGGAGCAAGGGTAGGGGAGGTATCTTCCAAACTGCATTAAGGAGGCTTGTCATGGAAGGTTCCAGAGAAATGTCATTACATACTGTTTTGTTTGATAAAGAATGCCCTGGAACAAACCAGAAGTACGCAGGTGCTTTGGGCCACATGGTAGTTTATTTCTATTTCTTTGTGCTGGAACGAATCTCCTAGCTCTCTCTTTAATGAGTTATTAACATTCAATTCACTTTTAGTTTCCAGTTAAAGGCATCAGCCCCTGCAGTGCTTTGTACTGCAAAAATACACCTTTCGAAGAAATATGTGCATAGCTTCAACTGCAGGGGGATAAGTTACAAAGGAAGAATGAGAATGAATGTGCTCATAGTTTAAAATCCTTTTAAGATTCTATTTCAAAAACCTAGGTAACACTGTGTCATCAAATAGTGTTCAACTCTAGAGATATCCTTCATACATTATAGGGCCTCTGAAAGTCAGAATTAGGGGAAATTTAAAAGATATACTGGCAATCCTCAAAAGGGTTTCTCTATATTTAAGTAGCATAATATCGATATGGCCATTTGCATATCTCAAAAATGAAGTGATCTTTGGTATATGTTTTTTTAAACAAACAATCACGGGGATTTAGTTCTGATTTCCATTCATAATAAATATTCCTCTCTCCACATTCTAAATGCCAGAGAAAGGAATTTTTTTAAACATATACATTTGTATTCATCACTTCCCTAATATCATTACTTTAAAGAACATGAATCTAGATATCCACAGGGAAGACCTTAATCTTAACTTCTATTAAGAGATTTACCCGCAGGCCTTTGAACAGTTGGAGATAAAAGTGATTGGATGAAAATGTGATTTTTAAGTGACTCTGTGTTTAATCGGTCTCCCTAAATTGGCTTTTGTGAACGTGTTCACACTCATTTAGAACGACACATCAAATGGAGTTTTCCTATATTTTTTTAAATGTTGTTCCCTTGGAGAAAGAATCAAGAAAATAAGATAACAACAACCAACAGCTCCATGCTAATGTTTTATCCTTTGCAAAGCACTTTCGCAGTCCGTCCATCCCTCCAGCAATTCAGTGAGGTCTCCAGGGCAGAAGTATTGTTAGGCCCTGGCAATGTTTCAAAGAGACAAGAAAAGCAGGTAACAGAACCCAGGTCTCCTGACTTTTGAACTTCTTGTCTCTACCGGATCCAGAAAACATGGGGGCACCTCAGGGCCATATTGCAAGAGTTTAGGAACCTCTGCAACTTACCTTAAAACCAATCCTTGGAGCAGGGGTCCATGTGATCACAATGGTTGTCTCAGTCACCTCGGTGTTGTAAGGAGGGATGGAGCTCTGAGGCTGCACTGTGAGATGGAATCAAGGCATGTATTCAAACCTTGGGCTCACAGATGATTGCATAGAACAGAGACAAGTATTTTTACGGAGAATCTCAACTTAACCAACCAGTGGATAGAAAATGTCACGTAAGTTCCTTCATTGGGTGAGAATTTGGAGAAGATCAGGGCTTCTCAATCTTTAAAGTGCCACACAAATCATCTGGGAGCTGACTGAAATGCAGGGTCTGATTCTATATGTCCAATATGGGGGTAGGGAGTTTGCACTTCTGACAATCTCGCAGTTAATGACCTCAAAGGAGAGGTCCTTTTCAATGCAATTATAGAATTCAATTTGTGTGTTTCCATCATCATCGGGACTTAAGTTTGGTGACAATTTTCCTATATTGTCAATATAAAGTCTCTTGTGAAATGGAAAGCTGGTTGCTACAAACTGATTATCATTTTGTTTCTTAATCATTAATTTAAGAACAATGATTAAATGATAGATGGTGATCTAAAAACAGCTTTATGCTGAATTAGTCCATAATGATGGCCAATTATTTTTGGTTGCAATAAGAGATGCTGTGTAAAAGTCAAACAAAATCTGCCACCATGGATGCACCTTAAATTCTAGAGATTTATTCCTTAAATATGTGATTATTCATTAATAATAATAAATACTGCTAAGATTTAGTATTTTACCACCAGAATCAGGAATTATAACAAAAGTTTATTTTGCATTTTTTAGGATACTGACACCATTGTTTTTCTCATAGTGAAATTATTACTTTAAAAATAGAAAAGATTTAAAAAAAAAAAGAAAAGATTTGTTTCTAGGTTTCAGCACCACAAGAAAAAAAGAGAAAGAAAGAGAAAAGGAAGAATAAAAGAGCATGTATATATAAAGTTAAGATAGAGATTCCCAACAACCTTGCAAATCTTATTATACATTTAGAAAAGGGGGATCTCACAAGCCAAGGTATTTGAATTGAGTGAGTTAAGTTCAAGGATTTCAAGTGTGTTAATAGCCTTGGTTACATGTTTGATGCCATCACAATTCCTTCCCCTTTACGTCCTACCCAAGCTCTGTTACCATTGGGAAAGTCTACTGAATACATGTGTATTAAATTATGAATGGCTGGTGAGACGAAGAGTTAGTCTCCAGAGTTATAAAAACAGGGATTAAGAAGTCTTCCGGGTCCAGTCTCTACTCAGCTCCAATTTTTTTGTTTGTTATGTGGGAATTTAGGTTAAATATTGCAATTCTTCCATTTTTTTTTCCAGCCTGGATTTTGATGTGTAATTGTTTCTTTTCCTTTTACTTTTTTTTCAATTTTTTTGTAGAGACAGGGTCTTGCTATGTTGCCCAGGCTGGTCTCAAATTCCTGGTCTCAAGAGATTCTCCTCTCTCAGCCTCCCAAAGTGCTGAGATGACAGGTGTGAGTCACGATGCCCAGCCTAATTTTTATTTTTCCTTTTAAAATACTGTGTGAGAAAAGGTGATATTTGTACATGGACACTTCATAATGATTGCTCTAATGGCTGAATTGAAGAGCTACTGGTTTAGTGTGCTGTTTCATAAGCATGTTATTATTCTGATGGCATGTTGGGGGAAGTAGGCTGGGTGACCCTTGGTGCCTTCCAGTGACTTTGAAATCATATACCACTTGGCTGCTGCTGACTTTGCCAAAATGCCACAGCCAGCCCTGCGTGATCATTTTTAAGGGCCCACAAGAAACAATTCAGAAAACAGTTTCTTTCACTGGACATCTGCAAAAGCCACAACTTTTTCACAAATTACATTCTCCTCATCTGTCCTTAAGGCTAAGTATTTTCTATTGCTTCAACAAGCCAGCCAGTCTTCCCAAGTTTAAGATGAGGCTCCCTGTCTGGGAAGACCATTGTAGGAAAATCACCAAACCACAAACCCACAAACTGATGTCAAACTAAGGATGTGACTGTATGACCTACGGGTTCTGGCAGGTCTTGTTAGATGAACAATAGCCTGGCTGTTAAATAAAATTTGTCCTATCAATCAATACAGGAATAAGTTGAATTTTCCTCAGAAACATTGTTTTTCCTCTCACTTTTCTCACATTTGCGCTTAAGAATTTAGCACAAGTTATAAAACTCAGAAAAGTTATTCCCGGAATTCAGCTTTCGTAAGACAGTAAAAAGCTACAGAAACTTAAAGTAATTTCAAAAACATGCAAGCCCTGCTGATGTTTACAGCCTTAGGGAGTACTTAAAGTTCAAATGAAGTTGGGAGAGCTCATTGGCTCTCCAACTGCTTACATTGGTTTATTTAAAGCTAAGCTTGGTGGAGCTGCTTTTGTTATCATTGATTCCTCAATCAATCATCTATTCAACAAATATTTTTGGAAAGTACACTATGGGCCAGGCACTATGTTAACCTTTTTTTTTTTTTTATTATTTCTGCATATTATGGGGGTACAAATGTTTAGGTTACGTATATTGCCCTTGCCCACCCCACCGCCAGTCAGAGCTTCAAGCGTGTCCATCCCCCAGACGGTGCACACTGCACTCATTTATATACCCATCCCCTCCTCCCACCTCCCATCTGCCTGATGCCCGATAAATGTTATTCCTATATGTGCACTTAGGTGTTGATCAGTGAAACCAATTTGCTGGTTATACATGTGGTGCTTATTTTTCCATTCTTGGGATACTTCACTTAGTAGAATGGGTTCCAGCTCTATCCAGGAAGATACAAGAGGTGCTATAACACCATTGTTTCTTATAGCTGAATAGTAATTCATGGTATACATATACCACCTTTTATTAATCCACTCATGTATTGATGGGCACTTGGGTTGTTTCCTGTGAATTGTGCCACTATAAACATTCGAGTGCAGGTATCTTTTTTATAGAATGTCTTTTGTTCTTTTGGGTAGATGCCCAGTAATGGGATTGCTGGATCAAATGGTAGATCTACTTGTATCCCTTTAAGGTATTTCCATATTGCTTTCCACAGAGTATGTTAACCTTTACCTAATAAAATTAGTCTTGACTATCAGTACTAAAGTACTGATTCAAATATAATTATATTTTATATAAATGTACTATGCAGAGCATAAAATAATGCATCCAATATTATCAGTTTCCAAAAGTACTTGAAATATCTTATATTGACCCCCACCTTCCACTTAATTATTGTTTGCATCATTTAAAATGCTTTTTTCTTTTTATAACACTCTGTTCAACAAAAGAAACTACATGAAATACGTCTTATATTAAGGAATGAAAAAGACAATTATGTAATTCTACGTTTTCAGTAAAAAGGCATCTACTAACAGAGCACATTCACTGATATCTCCATTCTAATTCAGTGAAGGACCTCTACAAGAAATGGATACTTACAAAAAATATAAAGACATTAATTGTATGAGAGTAGATTTTAGACTATCTCAGAACCATGCAACATGAAATAGCAAAAGTTCAAGGTAAATTTACTGGCAAAGTAAAAGCAGATTATTTGCTTATGATTAACAATTACTTTGGAAAAAGCCTTCACAGGCCAAACTTCATACAGCAAATTTAAATGGAAATAAATTTTTGGTAAATTATGAATTTTTATGGGGAAAGTTTATAGAGAATTTTTACTGGGAAATAAATTTCGTAGTTATTTACAAACTAATCTTGTATTTGTATTGACTTTTCGAATGTTTTTGAAATCCATATTTTTAAATTAGTCAAATAGTAAGATTTGTTGAAAGGTCTTGGAAAATTGCAAACTAATTCATGGTTGCAATATATGCTGAAAAACGTGCTTATGTTAGGTGCTTTCATAATTGAAAATGTTGAGTTGAAAATAACAAATAATGTTCAGCTGGAAATAAGGAGTCTCATAATTCTTTGTAATGTAAATGAAAATGTATTTAATAGAATCGGTTTGTGAATAGAGGCCTTCATTGTGATGTAGATACATAGGAGATTTAAGACCACTTCCTTTAAAATGCCGAGCAAAAGGACAGACATGACCAAAAGTTATTGTTAGTATTTTTCTCCTCTGTATTTCAAGAGTAATTTAAGAGAAAAAGCTATTCTGTTCTGCGGAATTACTTTAATCTTCTGCGGCCAACTCTCCACCAATGATAAAGAAATCATTTCCTTGGCTTCTTGTTCTATCAGTTGGTTTCCATTCAATCTGCAGATGTTTTCTAATCTGCATTTACCGTAATCACTCAATGCCAGAAGTCCAGGATGTAGACAAACATGCTTATTTTTTCTTGCCTTAATTAGTATTTGGTAAATTCCTTTAGTACAATAGAATTTAATTTTTCTAACAACAGAATGCTTTAAACCCATGTTACTCGAAGTGCCGGCTGGCCTGGAAAGAGACAGGAGCTCGGCAATGTATGCAAATTAATACACTGCTTCCTTCACCAAGAAAATCTGGTTTCAAAAAAATTATCAGCTGAACTAAACAGCATGCTTTGTGATTTACAATCCAGCACAAGCTCCTTCTCTTGTAGCAGATGGGGCAGCGAAACAATTCATGGGCTAGCAACCAGTCCATGAAGCACACTTTTAGAATTAATGCTTTAAAATTATGTACTAATTTTTAAAAATTAATTTTTAAAAAAATGAATGAAGAATAGAGAATGTCAATATAGTTAAGGACCTATCACTAAGAAAGGGCATTTAAATTTTGACTTACGAGTGGTGAAGACTCCAGTGATTTTGGGGCTCTGTTGGTTGCCCTTTACAGCGACGAGGGTCACGGTGTACTCAGACGCGGGCTGCAGGTTCCTCACTGGGTACTTCGAAGCAGAGGGTCCCACATTGTATTGCTTGGGATGGCCTCCTCGGGTAGGGCCCACGGTCAGTTGGTACCCTGCTATCCGGGCCCGAGGAGGAGTCCATATCACCAGGACACTAGTGTCCGTTTCATTGATAAACTGGAGGTTACTGGGAGCATCCAGTTCTAGGAAAAAAAATGAAACATGTCAAGACATATTTAGGTCATAATGATTATACTGAAATCCTAAAGCTTGACTGAATATTCTGAGTTTTCTCTCCTGAAGGTTGAAACTAAGTCAAAGTCAAAGCCCTGGAAAAATTGAGCTGTTAAGAGATTGAGTGCTACATAGAACTTTGCCAAAACTCTGTCAGCTATGAGAGATTGCAGAACTTTTTGCTAGACTATGTTCCTTCGAAAAGTCGAATTTTCCAGCAAGACTCTCCCATCACTCCCAGAAATTATAGTTACATTATAGTGATGGTATTTTTTTAAAAAAGGCAAAAGAAATACCTCTGAACCCCACAATTTGTTCTGAGACAAACAGGTTAAGGAAAGAGGGCTAAGCCTATTAAAATGAGAGCAAGAAGCAGCTCCACATGGATCAAAAGCAATAGTGTATACACTTATAAAATAAACAGTCCTTTGCTGGAGAAATAAAAGTTATTTTCACTGGGCTCAGATTAGACAACAATTACAATAATTATAACATAGTCAGAACCTCAGATTCATGATAGGACACTGGTGAGTTTGCATTATCAAAAAGAATCACATCAATTATGGGTTTTCTTCTTGAGAATGATAACTAGCAGTTTCCCCACAGAAATTTAATCACCTTTCAGATAGAGGAAATCTTTAAGAGGTAGTCAAGTACAATAATTCAGAGCACAGGCTTTGGAGTCAAGAAGATGCAGGTTACAGAGTCAGCTCTATTGCTTCCTGGCTCTTGTAAGTTGCAGAACTTTTAAAAAGCCTCAGTTTCTCCATATATCCAATAGGGATAATAATAAGACCTTCTTTCATAAGGTCAAAACAAAGGATAAATATGAGAATAATGCTCTTAAGAACTGAGCAGATGACCTGGTCCCAATATCACTAGATACCTGGCAATTACTATTCTTAAATGAATTCTACTGTAAGTGTTAACAGTCTACATTTTAACTCTGATTTAGATATATTGAGTTATACAAAAAAATGCACTCAAATTATTAATCTATGCCTTCATTTGCAAAGGAAATTAGAATCTCTTAAATTCTCCTCTCTTGGTGCCCTTCCATTGGTGCGTGTATTTTGGAAATGGGTTATCCCTTAGTATCCATAGAGCTTGTCTGAGTTTTATTTTCAAGTTCAATGTGCTTTATGTTGATTCTGTTTCCTTATTGGCTGGGCATTGTCCTCTTTCTAAGTTGTCCACCTGGGAGTGACTGGCATGCTGCCCTTCAGCCCAGGTTGGAAGTAAGGGTGGAGAATTGGGTGGGGAGGCGAAGTCAGGAGCAGGACGTACTGGTTGTCTGTTCCGCAGTCAGAGGCTTGCTCTCCCTCCCCTGGTTCACGGCAAAGACTTTGAAGTAGTAGGTGACCCCGGGGGACAGCCCGGTGACTTCCGCAAAGGTGTTCCTGCTGACGGGCAGCCTCTGCCCGTGCTCCCCAGGCAGGTTGACGGGGATCACATCCACACGATAGCCAGTCACCGCACTCTCTGGGGGTGTCCACATGATGGTGACCTTCACATCCGTCACTTCCACAAACTGCAGGTCCCTGGGAGGGGGCACTTTATCTAACAGACAAGAGTCAACTGGTTATTCACAATTCCTGCTGAAGATTATTTTTAAAGAGCCGGTTTCTCGGATGTCTTAGGCAGTTCCTAGAGCCTCTCATTTCAGAGCTATGCTAAGTTTTGTCCCTAAACCAGATATTATGCTTTTTTGCATATATTTTCATGGTTCCATGAAAGAAGTTTATGGTATCAATTTTTAATCAGAAAGGCTTTGATAAATTACTTATGACATTTCAGCTGAATCTCCTTAATTTAGGGGAAAAGTAATACTTGATTAGATTCAATATTACTGGAATGTAGGAGCTGTTGACAGAGACCAAACAACCTTCCCTCAGGGACAATGCTTCCAGTCCTCCCAGGAGGCTAACAGAATGCATACAATCCAAAAACAGCTTTGTTCTCCAATAGAAGGCAGGTTAAAGATGTTACCTGGTCAAGCCCCGAGAGATAAGATACCCTGGGAAGTGTCTGTTTTTAAAGTTACCTGCACGTGGGACGCCAGTGGTTTCCTGCTGGATGAAAACTGGAGTACTTTCTTGATTTTCTTCTACAGCATAGATAGTGATGTTATACTGAACGCCAGGTTGCAAGTCACTGAGCGTAACGGAGCTGGCGGTTTCGGGAAGGTTGAGTTCTGTGCTGCTGCCTTCTACTGACGGTGAATAGACGATTCTATATCCTGCAGATTCACGAGAAAAAGTAAGACATTGGTTTTAGGAAACAGAGGCTTACAAAAAATCATAAATCCTCCCTTTTCTAATAGCTCTTAGCATCTTGCTTGATTAGCTAAGAGCTAGTGATTCTTTTTGACTCTTTTAATATTGCCACTTCTTATAATAATGATTATTCAGCGTGAAGATAAAATAAGAACACTCATGTAAAGCTTTTTAGTAATAAATATCATCCTTGAAGACCCAAGATCCCTAATAAATGTCAATTAGAGAAGTCATTAGGTGAAAATATTCATGTTAAACTGATTTCTCCTCTTTGAGCTCTAGATGATGGAAGGAATTCATGAAGCAGCCTAAGCACAGAGTTGTCGAGCACTGTCTGTGTCTTTTAGCAACTTCAATGATGAGGCAGTTGAGTCACCTAAGAAAGAAACTCAGCTACCCCTTTTAGAATAAATCTTAGAGCAAGGTTTTCAGGAAAATCACACTTCTCCAACCCTGAGAGTGCTTGCTTTATAGTGCCAATGAGCTGGCATTTTACAGGTTCTGTGTGTGTTGTGGTGTGTGTGTGTGTGTGTGTAAGGAAGCTGGTAAAATGGATTGGAGGGGAAACGATGCATAGGAAATGGGGCTGGAAGGCTTTAAAGTAATCACATACACATACACGTCTCTGATAATTCTAAGGGAGATTTGAAGCGGTATGCTGGTCTACAGTCAGAATTTGCTCCCTCCCCACGGTGGCATTAAGATTCACACAGCAGCCAAAGAAGAAGGAGGCTAAGCTGACCTGTGATGGGGGCCTGGGGCTTGCTCCAGCGAACAACAATCGAGGTGTCATCAACTTGGTCCACGGTAGGGTCAGGAGGAGCGTCGGGTGCTAACAAAGGGAGAAGGGAAGAAGGGAGGTGATGGTCAGGAAATGTTGCTACAGGCCTGTGTTTGGCAGAAAAAGATTCCTTTGACACCATGCAGTACACATGTACCTGTTGTCTGGGAAGTCGACAGGATCAAACTCTGCTCCCCTTCTTGGGATATCTGATAGACATTTACAATGTATTTTCGGCCAGGAAGCAGGTCAGGGATGTTCACAGAAGTGGCTGTGCTTGGAAGATCTTTAAAACAGAGAGAAAAGGTTACTAAACCAATCCATTCAATGACTCCACAGCTTATAAGAAGGATTCGAAGGATATATTCATAGGGGAAAAGAGACTAGAAGGAAATGCACTAATAGATAATCAATGATTAGCAATGCACTATGGGGATAATCCCTCCTGCTGCTGCTGCTGCTTCTCCTCCTTGTCCTCCCTCTCCTTCTCTTTCATTTTCCTTTTGTTTCTCTCAAAATGTATAATTTTTATAATCCACACCCCCCCAAATTTTTACAAAGAGCTCTCTGTAGTTAGTGGTAGTGGTCGTGGAGGAGATGATGGAGTGGGGGTAGAAGGGATATTCTTTTTCTTGATCTAGGAGCTGGTCCCAGTGTGTGTTCACTTTGTAAAAATTCATTGAACTCAGTGCTTACGATTGCTGCACATGTCAGTATGTATGTTATGCTACACTACAGTTTTTTAAAGGCCCCCAGCCATGAGAATTTGAAAGGCATGAATGAGGGTCTGTGATCACATTGTCAGCTGCAGTCCTCATCCTGGCAATTATTAATAGTTCCATGAAGAAAACAGCTTCTGTTGCATGGACCTGTGCCCAGGCAAATGCATAATATAGCTCCCATCAGAGACCAGGAACATGTGAAGATGGCTCAGGAAAAACCCAGCCAAGTTCCAGAAAGGGTCAGTCCCTCCCTTCCTCATACCAGAGGGTGGTGTGCTCAGTCTGAGCTGTCAACTAGTTCCAAACCACGGAGACCACGTTTCTGGAGGACCCTTCCAAGGAGGGTTTACCAGCAGCCACCCTGAGCCTGCCACGAGCGACGCATTTAGCTCACCGAGGTACTGTGGTTCATCTCCCTCCTCACTCAGCTCATATTCCACCCGGAATCCTGACACGGTGTCGGAAGCTGAGACCCACGAGACCACAAAGCTGCTGGCTGTGATTTCGGTCACAGATTCAGAAGTGGCCACAAAGGGAGAAAGGGGAGTTGTCTCTCCTGTCACGGTGTTGCCTAGAGAGTCGCAGAAAGAGGAAAGCGAGCCTTCAGCCTTTGAGAAAATTTACCACCCTCATCTGTGAACATCATTTTTTTTTTTTAAATGTTGGTGACATTCATGGAAGAATATGAATTGACAAGGAAAGCCCTTCCTGAGGAGAGCCCAACTCTGAGAAACTCGGGCGTGGACGTGAGGATGGTGGGGTACGTACTGGTCACGGGTGTGCTGGTGGTGGTGAAGTCAAAGCGGGTCACTTCTTTGTGGCCGTACTGCTGGATGCTGATCAGCTGCCCCTCATAGATCATACCTGGCTTCAGGCCTTTGATGGTGTAGGAGTTTAAGTGGCCTGGAATGGTGGCTTCCTTCCAACCACCTACAGAATTTTTCTGAAAATTTGAATTAAAAAAAAAAAAATCACACCAGTGTTTACAAGGATGAACCTTTAGAGATGATCAGCAATCTTCAAAGAAGAATGAGGGACCTATGTAGCTCCATTGTGGAGGAAAATCATGGAAAACTGGAATCGTAATGGTATTATTGCTCCATTTTACAGATGGAGAAACAGAGTCAAGTGACAAGTTTGAGGTTACATAGTTGTGGCCACTGGGCAACCTTCATTTTTGCCAGATTATTTATTTTATACCAGTAACATAATATAATGAAACTAAGCTTTGCCTTCCCCAACGTTTTCATTTCTACAATGAACAGAGATATATTCCTTTTTGAACTGGGAAAATGCTGCATATTCTATCTTTTAACTAGGTGGGATACAATTCAAGTTTCTTGCCTTGCGGAAACATTTAAAGGCATAATTTTGCTTTCTGACTCAGTTCCTGGTACCATAACATACTAGGTACAACTCATCTGGTTTTGTGATTTATTCTTGGATATGAACTACCCCATCAGAAGTGGTTAGCCAACTTTGGACAAGACTGCAGAAAAATGCAATTTCGGTTTATTTAATCTTTTGCTTCCAGTTTACATTTCACATCCTGTCCAACTTCATTAATATGTCATGAATCACAAAACTCACAAAAAAGTGCAATAAAGTTTGTGGGAAAGAAACACCCTTACTTCAGACAAGATGAGACTCTTTTAAGTGTAAATATTTGAAACTAATATAAGTCAAAATATGTTTTTTATGCCCAGTGATTTTTTAAAATTACACAATCAACCAATTCCTCTATAATTCAAATACTCAAATGTCCATTTATATTTTTGGAATAAGTGAAAATGATCCTAGTACTCTTTAAATTTAAATTTTAACTCAAATATACTATGAAAAAACTTTAAAATTAGTTATTACAGTTAGCTCAAATTTAGTGATAAACCTTTCATTCAATGTGAGGTTTTTTGGTTAGCTATCAGAAGAAAACAACAGAAAATAAACTCTCAGATGGCATACATTAAGGAAAAACCTGAAATTTTAATTATTAGAAAATCTCAAAGAAATTCTTCACTGTCACTCTTTGAAGACTTTCCAATTCAATGTATGTTTTGTACCTACTTGTAAATGTCCCTTATTGCAATGGTCTCACAAAACACTTCAGAGTTAAGTTTAAAGTAAATAAAATTGGTGATGAGCTAAAAAGATGAGAGACAAAGTGTTGGAGGGGAAAATGCATTGACGCCATTGATTTATATCACTAGATACGAGTTCTGCAAATGGCCGCTCAGTATACTATATAAACATTACAAAAATAATAATAATAATTTTTTTTTTCATTCACCATTTGTTAAGCAGGTGTGCCAGGCACTGAACCATTCTAGCCTCTAGAGAGACAGCATTGAGCAAATGAGACAGACACAGTCCCCTCTCTAAGAGAGGTTGTTTCTATTTTCCATTCTTCTGGTCTTGCCTCCATATAGACAACACGCTTACACCTCTACTTTTTTTTTTTCATTTTTCAACAAGAAATCATATTAAAGATTCTTCAGTATGATGGAGGATTTAGCCAATAATACTACCACCCTCCTCCTAGAATCTTGGACATTCCCAGTGTCTGACATTTGCATTGTTAACTTTGTTGTTCTTGTATTTATATTTGTAATTTAAAGTATTATACTAAATCTCCATTTCTCACTTCATCAACATTTGATGCTATCTTTCTTGATTCCCCACTTTAAAAGATAAAGTTATTGGTGTTCCTTCTCTCTTCTCCATCTCCTATCCTCAGCTTTCATGTTCTATTTTTTCAGTTAAATGTTCACTTTTTATTTTGTCTCGAAGTTGGATCTATGATTCATCCATAGACTAATCATGCCATGCATTAGGAGTACGTTCTTTCTAATAAGTCTAACATCATAACTGCTGAGTGGATCAGGGTTACCAGAATCAAGGTTCGATGGAATTTCTCTCTGTTTTCATACCCTAGTATTGCCACATTCTAGTTTGCTCCATATATGAATTATGGCCTTATTATACATTTGGATTTATTATTCATTCCTCCACCTGATTCTTGGAGTTTCCAACTAATGTTGTTTTTCTTGTGTTATTTGCCCTTGCGATTAATTTTTCCCCAAGTCTGTCTTTCCTATTAAGTCCCCCTTTTTTCCTGGAGACTTCAATCCCTGCTCCCCAACCTCATCCCCATCCTTCCGCTCCGTAGGTACTGGATGCCCTCTAAGCCTGTTACGCAATTGTCATGTTGCAAATTTTTTCCACTGCTATTGGGGTCTGGATTGGAAGCACCATTTGCTGGACCCTGCAACTTCCTTCTTATGCTACTTTTGTATTTCTGGAGTATAACTTCAAATATCCATAAAGAAAAGGATGTATGGAAAATAAACTTTCTGAGATCTTTCTGTCTGGAAACATCATTATTCTGCACACTTGATTGGTGTTTGGCTGTGTACAGAAGCCATTAGAAGTTTCTTTTTATCTCTGGTACTCTGACACATCGAAGATGTGTCTAGGCATACTTCTTTTCACTAATTGTTTTGGGCACTCAGGAAGCCCTTTTAAATCTAAAAATTGTCCCTCAGCTTTGGAAATTTAGAAAAAGAATGATTTTAACAGCTTGAATTTTTCCTGCAGAGTTTAAATTCAATTATCTGAGTTGGTCAAATTTTTTGTTTGCTTTGAATTGCTAAAATTCAACAGCTATAATTAAAAATGGACATTTTTCTCCTATGTTTAAAATAGTGTTTCTCAAATTATAAATCACGAACTTTGGAGATAGAACAGAGCAGGTTTGAGAGAATAAGAGAAACGAAAGCTTAATAGACCAATATCCCCCTTAAGATGGTTTCTTCAATTTCTAGACACTTATTAGAAAATCACAGGGCTCATTCTTTAAATAAACCAACTATCATCCCTTATCTATACTTCCTTCCTATCATCTCTTTTCCTTCTATCTAAATAAATTCAGTAGATCCAAAGTAAAGTTTTTTTTAAATGATCACTTAAAAAGTGACTCAAAAGAGAAATATATTAATTTAGCTAGTTTTTTCAAATTATGAAAATAATACCAGTAATATTTTTCCTTTGGTGGGGTTACAAGACATACAAGAACTTTAGATTTTCTTCCCATATTGGGAAAGAACAATCTTAAGCATTATCATTTCTAAGACCTTGCAAAAAGAGATTTTTGTAACATAAAGAGCTAAATTCTTCCAAATACCAAAAAGATGAAACAATGCCCCCCTCCAAAAACAAAAAACAAGCCCCTCAGTCTATATGTCAATTCGATTGACCACATACTGTTTGGTCACTAAACAAATACAAATTCTATATAAATAGTTAATCAGATCTGTTGGTCTAGAATTTGATAAGCTCAGGAGACTCAGTGTCGAGGTTTCTGAGTGGGATACTCACGGGTCTCCACCTTAGAATGTACTTGGTAATGTGAGATGGTTCCGGTGCATTCCACTGGATGGGGTGAGAGTTGGGCTGACTGGGGGTCTCAGTGATAATTACTTGGACAGGACCAGTTGTGCCTGAAAATGAAAATGTGGGATTTAGTTATCTTGGGTGTTTATTCACTTCAACTTAAAATTTGGTGTACATGGACAGCCATCATTAAAGACAATTTTGCTTATCAGTACACGTGACTATAATAAAATTATGTGGAATTAGTTCATCCTTTACATATTGACATTGGAAATCAATGCAACAAATCCATTTTTACCTGATAATTATTGTCCTTCACATGAGAAATGCAAATAGAATTTATTTATAGTAAATAAAATACAATTTTTCAAAATGCCTCTTAGCTTGCTTTTATATTCTTGATTTCCAAAGTAAAAATTCTGAGAAAACTGTGAAACACCCAAACAGAAATAATGTAATATGCAATACAAACTTCATTTACTTACTATATTAAGCCTCTTTAAGGCAAATCTAATTTTTGGAGGTTTTCATCAAGAATGAATCTACTATCTAAGAAGGAAGCAACATTCCAAAGGCCATAAGATATGATGTAAAACAAACATCTTTCTAAACGGGGTAGAATCTTAGACAAATAGGAAAAGGTAATAATTAAAGACCTAGTTTTATTTCCTATCAGTCTGAGCAGCCTATTAGTTTGGAAAAAAATTCTAGTTTTATTTTTATTCAAGAAATATACTCTCGAATCACACCACTGATTGGTTAAATTATTAAGAAATTATATTAATTTTTTCCAAAAGCTGTTGTGAACTAAAACAATCTTATGAAATATACATTAAATTCAATATTTCCACATCTTAATGTGTATCACTGTTACCAAAAAAATTTAAAGTATAGTTTTAGTTCTTTTGTTAAAAAAAGAAAAATGAGAGAACTAGAATCAATTTCTTAATAGTGTTAACTCCATTTGGAATCATAATAAAATAGCTGGAAAATTTATGCTTGCAGAACAGAAAACTGCCTTTTTAAAAACACCATCTTCTTTATGATGTCAGTCGATGTTCCACTTACTAGAAACAAAAATAAAATTCATTGTAATAACATTTCCAAAAATTTCTAACTGATACTCTGTCAAACAGAGCAAAATTGTGTATGTTTAATAAAGCACTTCACTAGATTATTAACAGATTTATGTTTTCTGAAAGTTTCTAGGAAAAAACATATTGATTTTCAAACTTTATTTCTTAGCTGTTAAATTCTCTTTGAAAACAAAGTTTTCTCCAGCAGAAAAAATGTATAACTTAGGTATCTGTGTCGTTTCAAAAATTCTAGAATAAAGTACTCACTTCCATACCAGGAATAATTCAAAAGTTGTTTGAAGATTAACAAATACTCTTTGAATCTTAATTTCATTTAACGTACATATTTCCAAGCCACATGAAAACCAAAATTCACGCATAAAATTCTCAGTTTTCCATTCTAAAGTGGTATATATTTCACAGAACTTGCAGGATGTTTATTTCAGTCAACTGGCAGAAGTTAATTCCACGTCCCTCTTTGAATCACCCCTTCTGTTCATGAAGAGCCTCACAAACGTAAGCACGTTTATAAAGATAAATATTTAAGCAAAAGTTTAGAGATGTGACTATTGAAAGTAATTCCAGGTAAGTCAGTAAATATAGGACTATCATGTCCTTAAATTATTTATGATAATTGGCTACTATAATTCCCTCAATAAAAAGACATCTGATGTGCATTTTTTTTAAGTCAATCATGATTTTGAGAGGAATGATGGTTAAAAGTCTATTACAATTAAGTTTTAAAAACACCACATAAATGACCTTTACTGTCCACGTTTAAGCCTAATCTCTCTCCTACGTATACAAGGACACAAGGAGAGGATGGCAGAAGGCGGGGAAGGGACAGAGAAAAATGCTACTGCAATGGTTTTTACCCCAGCCAAAGAAGAGCAAAACTGCAAAAGTCTCTTTTCCTTCCTAAGACTTCAAGCACTGGTCTGAAATTCAATGTTTAAACATGTAGGCTTACACCATAGCCCACCTTTAAAGGAAATGAACTGAATAGTAATGGGAATTTAACACATTATGCCAATTAAATACCTATTAACACTACACTCTATCTTATACTACATACAATTTGAAGACAAGAAAGTTAAAAATTATGACATCATTCTATTATTTAGATTTAAATCCTTTTGCTACTGGCTAGTTGGTCTAACTTTTCAAATTAACATAACTGGCACATACTAGCAATTACCACTGTGAAATCTCCACTCTCTCTCTTATTCAGTATAATCAAACTAACAATAACACAGTAAATTAAAGATATGATACAATGTCTACACTTTTAAAATTAGTTTGAAATAAGGTCAAAATGAGTAATTTCCAGTCATAGTGGCCCTGGGGAAGTTAAACATTCATCATCTTTTGACTGAGTCCTTTTTTTCCTCTATTTAATTTGCTGAGATCTGTGCTTTCTGAGTTGCTTATTGACAAACCAAATGCCTCTTATCTTCTGTTAGTTTGAGCAACTCCACTAAGTCCTCTGCAGGAGGAACAAACAGGGCAAGGCTCAGAGACAATCTGTTGGTCATCTGTTATTCCTTTATTCTTACCACACTCTTAAAAGCCCCACATGCCAAGCAGGAACCATTGAGCAAACCAGACATGCAGATAAGCACCAAACAGCGTATCTGAGGTCAAATGCCAATCCCCACTCCCCTAAATCTCCTCTATGCTTGGTGGACTCTTGCTATTACTCTTTTTGGAGAGTAGGAATAAGGTCAACACACAAAACTCCAGCACACGAGGACTCCTTCCCATCCAGATTTGATCTCTAAAATGTCCGTCTAAATGCTTCCAGCAAGCAGCTATGTGGGCAGACTTATTTTAAAAGAGAAAAAAAGATCTAAATCATTCAGGAGGAAATAATTCTTAGTAAATTGCCACACCAATAACAATTATAAACATGGAAACTAGAGAGCATTTCTTTGCAATTTGGTTGTATTATTTAAACAAACAAACAAACCCAATTATATACTTTCTGAACTTACAGTACTTCTATAATCAATCAGATTTAAATATATATTAAATTAAAAAAAAAAAATTTTAAGTGATTCTTACACCCAAATCCACCAAGAAATACTATTTAAGAGGTTATTCAATTTGTCCTGTGAGCCTTCAAAATCAAAGTCACTTCCCTTGCTGTGACTGTGTCTGAGGGTTGAGAAGAGCAGAATTGTCAAAGTCCCTGGAAAGGGTACATCTGTGTAGTTGGAATTTAGGATTATGACTGCTGGAAGGAACTTTCAAGGTAATCAGCTGCAATCTCCCCATATTGCAGATGAGAAAATGAGCCGTGAAGCTCAGCTAGCACTGTCTTTAGCCAAATTGCTCCATAGCTTGTTCTCCATGATAGTGAATCTCTTAGCACATTATGGAGGGACTGACTTAATTTAATCTTAATTTCTGTCACATGAAGATTCCAATGCCCTGAAAATCATTCTTTTTGTTTCTGAATGTAGGCCATGTTTTAAGTCTAAAGTTAATGGAGACTTTGCATCGCAGTAGTTGCTCAAATAACTGATGCCTAATAATTAGCTTTTCACAATGCAACACGTTTTATTATAATCACTCGGTGAGTATTAAATCAACATTTTTTCCCAAAAATGAATTATTAACACCCACAGGTAGGCATCATGTCTTTGTAACCTGAAAAAACCCAGCAATAAACATCTAAACATGTTTGAACTGTGTGGGCAGAGAGTTGACCAAGTTACTCAACTACTGGCCCAGGATACTGTGTTCCAGACTCCAATTGATCAAACAAATGAAAAGTTTGACACAGAGAGGACTTAGATGACATGTTGAATGAACACAAACCCTATGTGGTATTTCATGCCGTGTCTCTAGGCAACTTCTCTGTACGAACCATAATAGAAAACCCAAATCCTTTACTCCCAGATAACTTACTTCATGATTTCTATTTCCATGTATGGATGTGAGATGAAATTAGCCAGTGTTTTAACCTAATGGAATGTTCTATAGCATTAAGAAACAAAACTATATGCAGGTACATTTTCAAATTCTTTCCAACCTTTTACTTGATTGAGGGAAAAAGGAAAATCATTTCAGTCAGAAATTCAATTGATTATTAGATAGTGATAGGAGAAAAGGGTGGGAAAGAGAGGAGACCCCAACCTAGGCGTGAGAGTATTAAAACACGTCCCTGTTGCTGTACCCATTGGCAGTTCTCAATGTGCAATAATAGAGCTACTTACCTGGATAGGTCTGCAAAGGCTGGCAATGCCACTCCCCAATGCCACGGCCATAGCAGTAGCACTGGTATCTGACTCCATGCACATACTTCTCCCACGAGTCTCCAATTTGATAAAACGTCCGGGTCTCTGAATCCTGGCATTGGTCTAAAATATATGCAAGGAAAAGATAAACATCCTTGAAGACTTACAGCTACAAATTTAACTTCACTGTGCTAGTGCAAACATTCTTAGTTTGAACAGAAATTTGCAACTGTCCTTACTGTAGCCCATGCAGTTAAAAGAAATATTTTGGTCACATCCTTTACTTCACAGGCCAATTAGTAGTAGGAAAGTACCCAGTAGGAGGGATATTTAGTTTTCTAAAAGAGTAGTATTCCTAAAGAAAAATGTAAAGATTTAGATTTCAGTATATATTGATATTAATTTGAGAAAAAATTAGTACACTTTACTCATATTAATGCAACTGGCTTACCAATTGAAATAGCAAGGGAAAAAATCTGTGATAATTTTATTTTCTTCTTCAAAATTCAGAGAAACTCATTTTATCTTTAAATGAATGAACTAGATTTTAACTATGATAACTTTCTGAGCAGCTTCTAAGAAAACCTCTTGGACTTCTCTCTCAGCTTTGGCAATCTCACATCAAACAAACTGATGTCATCAGTGTGTTTTCTTAGTGAGCAGCCTATCTCTTTTAGTAAAGGAATATAAATGGATTACCTTAAACTTTGGAGTGCTAGTAACTTAACTCTTTTAAGGCTGTCAGCCTTCACTGTTTGCTCAGTTCTACTATAAAGGGCAGCCAAAAAAAGTATTTTGGAGGGAGATATTTACTGGCATAATCCTTTGCTTCTGTTTTTGCACAATTAGCAAAGGAAAATTCTTTGTCATAACATGGACTATCTTGGTGATTCAGAACCAGAGGATAAATTCCATTCAATTAAAATAAACCTGCATTCATCACCAAATTCAGCAAAAACCAGATGACTACCAATATCAAGATTGTATTAATATATTGGTTCATGATTAGAGAGAAGACTTTGCAAAGCTTTTAGCAAGCAACTGATTGAAGTCTGGAGCCAACTTCAGTCCTGTCACATCAAATAGCTTTTCTTATCTGAAACTTGCTAACCATTCTCTGTGTCCAAAATCATCTAGGGAGACGGGGTTACTTACCGACGGGATCGCACTTCCATCTGCCCCGACCCTGACCGAAGCATGTGCAGTTCAGCATGTGTCCCTCTTCGTGACGCTTGTGGAACGTGTCGTTCACGTTGTAAGTGATGTCGTCAACAATGCACTGATCTGTTTAGGAAACAGTTGGATGGGTGAGAAGTTTTTTTTAAGTTCACTGATGAAATAAAAGAAATTATGCTTTTCAAAGCATACAGTTCCTTCCAGTTAATTATCAACACCTTCCACTAAAATAACTTTTCCACTGGCATAGAATAAACTTTTTTTCAAAGCTTACTCAGTAATCCAATTTTTGCCAAAAACAATTCTCTCATAAACATGTAAATGTTGTGGAGGTTAAAGTATACATAATTGAAGAATGCGGTAAAATACACCTTCCTGCGAAAAGCCAATTTTTTAACAAATACGTATCTTGCTTTCTAATAAGTTCTTGCTTATTTGATAATTTCCTTTATATCTCTGCTTGTATATGATAAATAAGATTAAACATATATACAGCACTCCGCATGGTGTGGTGGTCTTATCTGGTCTCTGAAATGGGGTGGAGGGAGGAGACATTTGGATTTGGGAAATAAGATGACATCTATGGTGTTTATAAAGTTAAAAGAAAATAGGCCAACTCCGTTCCTCACTCTCTGAGAGAGTCTGAGAAGGTGATTTTCCCTCTTTGGGTCTCAGCTTCTCCACCTGTAAAATGAGGAGCTGGTCTGTACGACTTACTGAGGTCCCTTTCAGTTCTGCAACGTCAGACGTAATTATTGTCACTTCTGGATTGTGTTGGCGTCAGACACCACAAAGGAGGGCACATTCGGGCCAATAATCCACACACTGGCTACACAACTTATTAGCTGACAGTTGTATGTAAATATTACTTTTCACATCAAAGAAATAGAAAACTAAAATGATTTTAATAAACCAATACCTCCTCCTATCATATAACTGGGTCCAAAGGGGAAAAACTAATCTGAACAAAGAAAATTCATCCCTGTATGTATTTGTCTCCTTAAATTTGGATCTGTAAGGATCTGATTTTAGAATAGCAAAGTCTTTTTTTCTTTACAGAAATTATTCGATCATTTCTAGACATGAAGCCAGCAGCATACCCAACAGCTAAAAGGATCAAATGCTTGTGTTCTCGCCTTTGAAGTCATCTTTTTGGCTCAGCCTAAGTACTTACATCCTGGGAATGCTTCAGAACCTTGGCATTGCTGTGCCAGCTTTTTTCAACTGGCTGTCTGAAAGGCAAAACCTGTCCAGCCCAGTGGACTAATGAATGGAGTGGCACTGCGTATTTCTTCCCCTGCTTTTGGCAAAGTATGAGTTTTCACATAAAAGTCTGCTTCCTTGTACACTTTGCCGTCTCAAATGTTTTCATTAATAAGCCAGCGTACCTCGGAGCTGGGAGTAGGCAACACACGTCCACTCCCCACGACCATTCCCAACACATGTGCACCTCATCATGTGGCCCATGTCATGCTGTTTATCCCACTGATCTCCAATGCGATACATGACCCCTTCGTTGGTTGTGCAGATTTCCTCGTGGGCTGTATGGAGACAGAAGAGAAGTGCGCTTGATAAACGATCACGGGTCTAAACAGGTATGTATGCAACAATGTCAATCCCGTCTGCTCATTCTAAGCTCTCACTTGGGAAGGCTTGTGTGGCTCAAAGAAATCTAAGTGCTTCTAGGTGGAGGCACAGAATTTTGAACCCTGCAGGGAGAAAACATGGTCCAAAGGTGAAATATGTTGCAGAAAATAGTTACAGGAAGGGTTAGGGAATGTTAAACTAACATAATACCTACACATTCATACAAGGAATTGGCACAGTTCTAGAAGCCTGGATTTGATTACCGCTCTGTAATTTTTCCTAGTTCCAATTTATTCTGGTTCAAGGAAAAACTATGTGAGTAAAAGTGGGTTTTCCTTCTAAATCCAACATTTTCTTTTGTTGAAATGAGAGAAATAAAGGTAAGTGCAAGTAGTTTCCTTGCCTCATGTTCACATTTGACAAGGCATAGTGCACAGGCTCTTGCTTCTACAACTGCAAAATCAAAGGTAATCTATGGAGTCTTGAAATCTGAAAACAAATAAAGGGTATTGGTTCCCCTTTCTCCATTTATACAAACTGGAAACTTTTTTTTTAAAATAAATTCCTTACCTGTCAGAAAACATTGAGTTTCGGTCACTTTGGTACTTATTGATAAGTGACACATCTTATGCCAGTCAACCTATAATTATGTGTCAATATTGTAGGTCTGTGACTGCAGCAGTCAGGTGTATGTGTGTAAATATACACACACACACACACATATATATGCAGTAAATGTTTTAAGCTACTCAGTTGTGTGTTCTTTACAAAGACAAACCTATGCAAATTTATATT